ATTCAGCACTTTTCCAGAAAGGGGGGAAAAGGGTCCCTTTTCCAGAAAGGGACCCTCAGAACAGGGTCTCTGTCCTGTATCCATAGCCTCTGTCTTAGCCCTGGAGCATCTCCAGAGTTTCCACCTTTCTGACTGTCTCCTGTCTCAGAAGCACCAACTCAATGCTTCAGACCACATTTCTACCTCTGGCAAATGATTGAGTATATCTTGTTCACCTTTTTACAGAATGTTTTATTTCTGGGAGATGTTTTAGAAAATGAGCTGTAGAATTTGGCTCTTTTGTGCCTCACCCAGTCAGAATCACCCAGTCAGATACCCTTAACCTAAATCAGGTTCCTCTGTCTAGACAGCGCAAAGCTAAGAGTGGAAAAGGAGAGTGATTGGAGCTGCACAGGCATCTACCACAGAATGGTGGGCATCCAGCTCAGAGCCCTGTCATCCCCTAACTACGCCATGAGGGTGGGATTGCAGCCAGTCATCCACAGCCTGTCAAGCCACAGTTCAGAAACATGTGCAGAGATACCCACCTTCCCCACCCTTCCCCCACTGCCCCAGGAAGAAGACCCTCTTTAACCCCATTCAGTTTGACCTACCTGATAATTCCTGGCTCTCTGTGCTGCCCACGTGGTTGCCAGGTGCAGACAGTGGGTAAATATACTACCATTTGTATAAAAATACTGGACTAGTGAGAGGAATAATACATATATCTTTATACAGATATATATAGGTATACACACTCATGCATGTTTACATGTCATAATATAATACAAGAACACATACATGCAAGAAACCAGTAATGTAAGTTCCTTATGGATAAGGAAACTGGGTGATTGGAGGACCAGGATGGGAGAACATTTTTTACTATGTAAACTTTTATACTTCAAATTTTTTTCATTAAGATTTTATTTGTTTGTTTGTTTGTTTAAAGAGAGAGGGGAAGGGAAGAGATAGAGAAATATCAATGTGTGGTTGTGTCTCATGTGCCCCCTACTGGGGACCTGGCCTGCAACCCAGGCCTGTGCCCTGACTGGAAATCAAACCTGCAACCCTTTGGTTTGAAATGCTCAGTTCACTGAGCCTCATCAGCCAGGGTTGTACTTCAGAAATTTTGAATCATGTGCTGGTATTACCTATTTAAACACTTAAATATGAAAAAATGCCCTTTTTTTTAATTACAGCTTTGTTTGTACTATGCCTCCCAAAAGGATCAAAAAATTGAGGGAAGCAGAAAAACCAACTCTAGCCCGCCATCTTCTGTAGTCAACTGCTATTAGTGTGTGCATTACATGCTTACGATCTGTTTCCTCAGCTGAATTATAGATCTCCCTAGAGCACAGATTGCCTTCTTTTGGTGTCCTGTAGCATCCAGCACAATGTGTTTCATAAAGTTGATGCTTAAAACACATTTATCAATGATCAGCCCCAGTACTAAATAACTTTTAGTGAAATCAGCACATGTGCTGAATGTAGGTAAGGTTCAAATCCATCCATGGAACCGCTCCGGAAGGCAGTTTTGCAATACGTGCCAAGAAAAGTGGAGATGTTTATGCTAATTGGCCTAGTAACTTCCCTTTTGAGATTTTATTCTAATAAAATAATTCCAAGGAAGAAAGATGTATATATGAAAACATTTATGCTGTTACATGGTGCAACAATGGAAATTAAATGAGAATGACCAATTGAATTGCAGCATAACTACTCAATGGAAAAACTATATGGCTATGAAACATGATGAATTAGAAATTAGAATATTAAAAATGTTTATGATTTAGAAATTGCATAATTCCAATGACAACTTTATATAGTGGTGAATACTGAAAAGTAACTTTGGTTTTTGTTTTCCTCCTTTATAACCCTTGAGCCTTCCTAATTTAGGGAGCTAACATGGGCCAACCATTGTCTTCTGGGAGTTGTAATGGTAGGACTAGAGAATAATCAAGTTCTTTTTAAGAACTGAGGCTCTTTTAAACCCAGCTACACATGCAAGACAGGAAATATTTGGAATAATATGTAGACTAAATAAATATTTTCCAAGTAGAGGAGAAGAAAGTCGAGAGAGAAGTAAAGGGGTACCCTTGAGAAGGAGCCCAAGTCTTGCCCTCACCTCCCCTTGAGGGCTTCTCCAAGGTGGAGGGGCATCATGTTGATAGATCCTCACCCTCATGACAAGTTTAGTGCAAGGCCCTAGAGAAGCAGCACCCTAGTGTACCAGCAGGCAGTGGAAATGGAGGTTGAGAGGCTGGTAAGGGAGGGCCTCAGGCTCCTGGTTGTGGGTGTAGATTTAGGAGAGCATCTGATAAAGGTGAACAGTTGAGGTGAAAAGGAACAGAGACTGGGAACTAACAGATAACAGGTATTTAATGGGGTGCATAATGGGGGGAAAGGTCGCAACTGAGGATTATCTGGCATATTTGTTTTGTGGGACTGCCAAAACAAAGTACCACAAACCAAGTGGCTTAAATCAGTAGAAATGTATTCTCTCCATTCTGGAGGCTAGAAGTCTAAAGTCAAGGTGTCAGCAGGGCTGTGCTCTGAAGGCTCTAGGGAAGAATCCTTCCTGCCTCTCCCTAGGTTCTGGTGGTTGCTGGCAATCCCCGGGGTCCTTCAACTGTACCAGCATCATTCCAATCTCTGCCTCTGTTGTCACAAGGCCTTCTCTGTGAATGTGCATGTTCATCCGTATGTGTTCACGTGGCCTTCTTTTTGAAAAAATCATCTTACTTTATTGGTTTTAGAGAGAGGAACATCAATTTGTTTTTCTACTTATTTATGTATTCATTGGTTGATTCTTGTATGTGCTCTGATCCTGGTATAGACCAGAGACTGGTCATTATCCCCTCCGCCAGGGAAGATCCTGAACTGTGTGACTGGGTTTGGCTGGAACTAACCAAGATTATACTTTTCACTATGTAATGAAATGGTCATATAAATACAGGTTGGTTGAATGATAGAAAAAGTTAGGACATTAAGTGTATATGTACATTTGCACATGGCTTGAAAATGTTGCGCATGCTACATAGGTAAAATATGTATACAAAATAAAAATTATGGTAGGCTAGTAGGATTATTAGTGGCTATTTCTTTAATGATGTCAAAAAGTTGTATCTACACTAAATTCAAGTTGAAAGAATGATGCTTGTTGCTGGGTGGAGGTGGCATAGATAGTGCTGTCCAATAAGGTTTTGGGTGTGCCCTTCTGGAAAACCAGGGTTCCCAGAGTTCTCTTCCTTTGACCTGAGTCATGCTCTAAATCCAGGAGGAAGATATTAGTATGTGCTACTGATTGATCGAGGTCCTCACAAGCCTCCCATCCTCTACTGTTCTGGAAAGATCCTAAGGTGTTCTGCTAAGACTCAGATATGCTTTGGTTGAAGCCTTTGCTGGTGGGGCCTATATGGACACATGCAAGGCTGCCAGGTGCCTGGTGGAGATGTTCCCCCATAGCTTTTTCAGGGTTTGAGGCTTTTTAAGCCTGCCATGGAGAAAGGGAATAAGACTGAAAACCATGAATTCTGAACTCAAATCTAGTTCAATCAAAAATTAACCATGTGATTTAGGCAAGTCCTTTACCTCCTCGGGGCTTGATTTTTAAAAATCATAAAATTATATATTTTGTTTGTTTTTCAGGAGATCTTTTTCCTCTTATTAGAAACTAAACTGCAGAAAGCCAGGTGTTTTGCCTACTTTGGTCACTATCATAGCCTCAGTGCCTAGAACAGGGTCAGGCATGTGGCGGAGATTCAACAAACACTTGTTGGATGAGTGACATGAAGTGCGGGATATTTCACTGTATTTTGTTAGTATGTGCATTCGAAGCCTTAAAACCTACTTTTGGGTCATGTGCAGCAAATTCAGAGAAATTCCAGTGAAAATGACTGTACCTGTCTTTTAGGGGAGCTCAACTAAAAAAGAAATCCCAGGGAAGACTCATTTAACCTCGGAATGAACTATTACATACCGAGGAATGGAAATGGCACCCCAATGTATCTTTTATTAGTGCTATTATAATAAATCCTAATGACACACACCTTTGACACACGGTTCCTCGGAATAAAAAAAAATAGCGGAGGCCCAGCTTCCCCACTATTTCGTTCTAGCCTACCACTTCCTAAGTCATCTCCCAGGCTCCCTTTTTCTCCTTCTCTCAACCAGTGATGCTGTACATTAGGAAAGAAATTGTGGGCCAAGGGGCCTGCCTCTGGTTCTGATTATAGCAAGTGTCATTCATTTCTCTACCCTGGGCCCCAGTTTCTCCATTTTCATGTGTTAGTGTGACACACAAGGTTTCCCTTAATTGCAACTAAGTGACATGTTATTGTATCTCTTTTACAGATAAAAAGCCTAAAGATATTGTGAAATCTGCTGGAGGCCACTAATTAGTACCAGAGACAAGCTTTCTGACTCCCAAGTTCAGGTTTCTTTTCGCCACAACGACGGGACGCTCAGAGGATCCCCAAGGCCCTGGTCGCTCCATCTCTATGTAATCTCCACCAAGGGGCAGGGATTTTTTACCTGGTTTGCTCCTTGCTGTAATCTGAGCGCCTACAAATCTGCCAGGCACAGAGCAGGCACTCGATATATATATCTGAGAGAAGAAAACGGACGAGTAGAGACACGCCACTCACTATTAGTCCCGCAAAGGCTTCAGGATTTCATCTCCTCCCCCCACCCTAACCCAGTTTCCTTCCCACGCCCGGTTCGCTCCTCCGGCCACAAGAAGGCACTGTTGGAACCGACCCCATCTAGCAAGGAGTGGCGGCCTTCTTGGCCCCGCTGCGCCTGCGCTGGTCGAAGGGCGGGTCGTGAGGGACCGGAAGTGCCGGAGCCGCGGGAGTCTCAGGAGCCGTCCCCACCGCTGCCTTTAAGTAGCGCGTTCCGTCTGAGTTGTCGCCGCAGCGGGGTCCGGAGAAGAGGCGGCGCGGCATGAAGCGCCGCTGGCCCGCTCCGTAACGCGCGTCGGGACCGTCCGGGCGGGGCCGGGGTGGGGGGAGAAGGTGCAGTATCCGCCCCCTCTCCTTCCTCTTTGCCCGCGAGGCCTGGGCCCCAGCCCACCAGGGCCCTCCCCGCTCCACCGAGGGGATGCCCCGCGTTCTCCGGGCTGGCCCGCCCTGCGGTTTACCGGCGCCCTGCTCTGCGCGGGCGGGAGACCGTGGCGGGGCCCCCCTTGCCGGAAGAGGAAGCTGAGGCTCTGAAATTCCGAGTCAGCCAACGTTCACTGGGCACCCCCTGAGCGCTGGGTGCTGGCCTTCGAACTTCCACGTTCGTTATCTTATTTGAGCCTCACTGGGGTTGGGAGCAGGGTACTGGCCGGGTTTACAGATGAGGAAACGGAACGGAAGCCCACGGAGCCGAAGGGACTTGGCTAAAGCCCGACCGTGATAGATCGGATTTGGACCGAGACGTTCTGGTTTCCCAGCCGGGCTTTTCTCGATACTGCCTCACTCTAGGTCGATTCCCTTCTTCCCCTGCTCACTAGGCCCCTCGTGTTCTATTTCACCCATCTGGAGCAGGATACTTTCCTTCCTTAGGTTTTTCTTGCGACACATTTTTCTTCTAAGACTTCTAAGATTTGGCCTCTCCCCAGTCCCATTTCTTGACATTTCTCATTCACAGCCTCCAAAATCTTTGCCTACTCTGATAAAGTATCTCTCAATTGCCTGGAGACCCTGAAAAAAAAATAGCTAGGCTTCAGTGAGGCTCGAGGTGTTTAAGTGGGCGACGATTTGGCCCTTGGATTAGAAATAGTGAATATTTCAGTGGGTCCAAATTCAAGAGTCCTGACCGAAGCTGTTTTCTAATCCAGTATGCTCTTCTCTGAGGGGCTTACAGTGCATGGGAAGGTGTCCTGACATCGTACATTGTTGCGGTGCTGTCATAACTTCACCATTTTCCTTCCACTGACCCCCGAGCTTTTCTCACCACGTCTCTCTCCAACACCACCGGCTTGGACTGGGCAGAGCCCAGAATTAAAACTGATAAAGTAACATGTTATCACAGACCCTCTTATTTTTCTTTTACTAAGCCATAATTTCAACAATCTGCATTCTTTTCCAGAAAAGTTACCTATTTGGTTATTTTCAGAGTGTACATGGAAAGTAAAGAAGCATAAGGGGAATGCACTTAAAGTGGATAGTACATTCTTTATCTTGTAAAAATCTGAAATTATTCAGTGTGATTAGTTCCCTTTCCACAAGAATATAGGCCTGTTTTATAATTCTTCTTTAAAACAATTATTGATTTGTTGATCCACTTGCATTCACTGGTTGATCCTTGTGTGTGCCCTGACCACAGTTGGAACCTGCAATCTTGGTTATTAGGATCATACTCTAACCAACTGAGCTGCTCAGCCAGAGCCTATTCTGTGATTTTCAGTGGTTATTCTGCGGTCTCTATTCTGTCTCCAGCCCAATGTCTATTATGTAAAATTATACAGTTGTATTATGTAAGGCAGGGACTGTACCATAGGAATTAATTTTGTTAATCATCTGTCATTTTTGAGGATTTGAAGTAGCTAAGAGTAACCTCACGTCTATCTGTACGCCTATTACAGTTTTTAAATCTTTTCTGTAACTTTTAATGTATGTCTGGATATTAAGATACTGTTTTGAGTAAATTCGGCTATACATTTCTGAAATAATTTTATAATTTTAATCTAAAATGCATATACAAAAAATTCAGGCATTATATTTTAATTAAATAGAGTATTTCTGTATCGGTTTGAAGTACTATTTGAGAGTTTTAAAATTTAATCTTTTTGGCCACATCAGATTCATTTTAATAATGATCAGCAGTCTTATAGCTTATGTCATCACTTTGGTGAACAGGTTTGGATGGTAACAAAAGGAGGACTCCTGTGAGAAGAGAGCAGGATGAGTGGAGGGATCTGTGCTTGAAGTTGAGTCACTTGAAAAAGATCTCTTTGAATGTGGAAGAGATCTGAGCAGATGAAAATACAATCAGGTAAGCACCAGGGAAAGTCCTTAGGGGAGGAGGTAGGTGGGGCAGTGAAATGCTGGCGCTGTGCTGACAATGTATGCTAACCCTGTGTTCTAAATTTTGAAATGAGAAAACTTGAGTCTCCTAGTTTGAGAATATTTGTATGTAGATGTTATAGAAATCTTGAAATTAAATTACTGTGTTATACAGTTGTGTAGATTACTAAATATATATATCTGGTCTTACCTAGAAAATGCAGGATATACATTCACCGTAATCATGAAGTGGTAGTGTCATTTGAACTATAAAATTGTGTGTGTGTGTGTGTGTGTGTGTATGTGTGTATAGAAAGACAGAGAAGTAATCTGGGGACCTAATTTAGGAATACCAATAATTTTGCTTAAGTGCAAACTAATGCAACTTGTATATAGGAGAGATATCAATTAGGTAAATGATAACTCAAGAAGGTGGGCAGGAACATTTCACTAGTCTGTGCTTTGCCCCTTGTTCTATTCCCTAGCCCTATCCTTGCAGGTGAAATTCCAGATTTAACACAGGGGAAGTTGAGGAAAATGAGCAGTTTTTATAGATGCTTCTCTCATTCCATTAAACCCAAAGCTAGATACATTGATGTATTTCAATGATTTTCAACCTTATTCATGGCACACCTAAACTAATTACTAATATTCAGTGGCACACCAAAAAATACATTCTATTTCCTACTTATCTGACCCAAAAAAAGGTATAATTTTTATTTATTCACACTGGACAGCTGATATTGTATTGGCTGTTGCCACTTTTTGATAACCTAAGCAAAAAAAAAAAAATGCCTTTAACTAAATAGTCAGGAATTGCATGTTTTAAATATTCTCGTGCACAGTGGTTGATAATCACTGACATTCAATAGAATGTAGACCTACACTAGCTTTTAGGTGGGCAAATAACCACCTTGGTCAGGTACTGCCACTTAATATCAATGTGCTGAATACCAGTTGAACTAAATGAAGTTTTCTCTGCTGAGTTGTGTGGATTTTAGTCATTGGTGGTAAATGCCCAGTTGTAATATATATAAAGTTGTAATAATGTTATACATTGTATACCTTATATAACTCTGCAATGGCATTTCTGGCCACTTTTGCTTTTATTACATTGTAAGTGGTAGTACAGTTTGCTGTAATGTAAAAAAAGACAAAGTGTTAAATGAACTAAATGGCTACACCTTTTCGGCACCAGGGATCAGTTTCATGGAAGACAGTTTTTCCACAAACTGGGGTGGGGTGGAGGGGAGACAGGAGGTAGATCTTAGGTGGTAATTAGAGTGGTGTCGCAAGCAGGGAGGAGGCAGGTTGGGGACCCCTACCATAATGCATTCTTTTTTAAAAAATATATATTTTATTGATCATGCTATTAGAGTTACCCTGTTTTTTCCTCCCTTTTATTCCCCTCTTCCCCGCCCCACCTCTGCCTCTCACCAGCATTCCCCTACCTTAGTTTATGTCCACGGATCATACATACAAGTTCTCTGGCTTCTCTATTTCCCATGCTATTCTCAACCTCCCCCTGTCTATTTTGTGCCTACCATTTATGCTTCTTATTCCCGATACCCCTTTCTCCATTCTCCACTTCTCCCTCCCTGCTGTGATCCATGTGATCTCCATTTCTGTGATTCTGTTCCTGTTCTGGTTGTTTTGCTAAAAACATTGTTTTTGTTTTTGTTTTTAGATTCAGTTATTGATGTGAGTTTGTTGTCATTTAGTGTTCATAGTTTTGATCTTCTTTTTCTTAGGTAAGTCTCTTTAGCATTTCTTATATAAGGGCTTGGTGGTGATGGACTCCTTTAACTTGACTTTATCTGGGAAGCACTTTATCTGCCCTTCCATTCTAAATGATAGTTTTGCTGGATAGAGCAGTCTTGGATGCAGATCCTTGCCTTTCATGACTTGGAATACTTATTTCCAGCCCCTTCTTGCCTATAAGGTTTCTTTTGAGAAATCAGCTGATGGTCTTATGGGAACTCCTTTGTAGGGAACTGTCTTCTTTTGCTGCTTTTAAGATTCTCTCCTCTTTAATCTTGGCTAGTGTAATTATGATGTGTCTTGGTGTGTGCTTCCTTGGATTCAACTTCTTTGGGACTCTGAGCTTCCTGGACTTATATGCCTGGTTCCTTTGCCACTGGGGAAATTTTCCTTCATTATCTGTTCAAATAAACTTTCCATTTCTTCCTCTTCCTCTTCTCTTGGCACCCCTATGATTTGGATGTTAGAGCATTTAAAGTTGTCCCAGAGGTTCCAAAACTTCTCATTTTTTTTGAATTCTTGTTTCTTTTTTCTGTTCTGGTTGAATGTTTCTTCCTTCTGCTCCAAATTGTTGATTTGAGTCCTAGTTTCCTTCCCTTCACTCTTAGTTCCCTGTGTATTTTTCTTTATTTCACTTTGCATAGCTTTCACTTTTTCCTCTCTTTTGTGATCGTACTCATTTCTGTGAGTATCCTGATTACCAGTGTTTTGAACTCTACTTCTGAAAGTTTAACTGTCTCTTGGTTGCTTAGAATTATTGGTTCTGGGGCTTTGAGCTCTTCTTGAGCCATAATGTTTTGGTCTGTTCACACCTGTTACGGAGGAGGGGTAGAGCAGGGCTGGGCCACCCTGGTCGCTGGGTTGTGACGCTGTATGTGGGGGCGGGGTCAGAGAGGGGCATTGGCCTTTGTTCCGCTCTCTCTCAGATTTCTGTCCCCTCTGCCGCTTCCCACAAGCAAATTGGACCATTCTGGTGCTGGTTCCCTGGTGTGTTGGCTTGTGTACCCTCCAGGATCCTGTGGGTCTCTCCAACGAACTCTTCCAGGACCTCCACCCAGAAAGTCTTTCCAATTGGTGCTTTCAGGCTCTAATTCCTGTTGCTGGGGCCCTAGCCTGAGCGGTTTGTCTCACTGTTCGTTCCTTCGCTTGGTTTATCTGCACTCAAATGTGTGACCTGGGTAAGCCAGCCACCCTGCACCCTCATTGGGTCTACCCATTGACACCCCACATGTGGGATCCGCCAACTGCCGCTTGCTGTTGGCGCTCCTGGGTCAGTCCTGCCGATCTTTTCTGCCCGACCCAGCTCTGCTCAGCCGCTGACTCCACCCTCTTACCGGTCTAGCTGAATTTTTTTTGTTGCTGGACTTCTGTATAGTTCAATTTTCTGTGTTTTGGCTGTGTTTTTATTACTAAAACTTTGTTGTCTTTAAACTTGGTTGTGCAAGGAGGTACAGTGTTTCCACCTACACCTCCATCTTGGCCGGAAGTCCTGATCTGTTCTTTCATTTTGGCCGTATTTTTTTGTCTTTGGCTAGGGAATAGAACGGAGGCAAAGCACAGACTACTGAAATCTTCCTGCCCAGAGTCTTGAGTTATCATTCACCTGATTTACATCTCTCCTATATACAAGTTGCATTAGTTTGCACTTAAGCAAAATTATTGGCACACCTGTTACCTTGTAAGGGGCAGAGCCCTAGGTATTGGCCAGGACAGGGCGAGCTACTTTGCCGCATTGTGGTGCTATAAGTTTGGCAGGGGTCAGAGAGGGACAATGCCACTTGCTTGGCTCTCGCCTCGCTTTCAGTCACTTCCCTTGCTTCCCACAAGTGGATTGTGCCCTTTCAGGTGCCGATTCCTGGGTGGGCGGGCTTGTGTACCTTCTAGGGTCCTGTGGGCCTCTCCAATGGACTCTCCTGTGAGACTGGGGGTTTCTTCTGCCGCCACAACCCCCATTGATTTTTTTTACAGCCAGTGGTTTTGAGGCTTTAGTTTCCCGTGCCGGAACCCTGGGTTGCATAGTCTTTCTCACTCCCCAGTTATTCCTCTCAGCTTATCTGCACGTGAATGTGGGACGTCCCAGTCTACCAGCCACCTCCTTGTTATGTGTCCTCTCTGCCCCGGCTTCCTGTCTCTGCCCCTCCTACCAGTCTGGATGAATGTTTCTTTAACTCCTTGGTTGTCAGACTTCCATACTGCTTGAATTTCTGGCAGTTCTGGGGTGTTTTGTTTTGTTTTGTTTTAAAATTGGTGGTTATCCTTCTTTTGGTTGTGCAAGGAAGCAAAGCGTATCTACCTATGCCTCCATCTTGGCCAGAAGTCTCTGAACATCAGCTACTTCAATTATTAAAGCCACTTAAAGATAGGAACAGTTTTTTCCTCTCATTTAATCGGGAGAGTAACACTTGTATAATCTAATACATAAATATAACATAAATTCATTATAGTCTAGAGTCCCACAAATGATCATAAGATAGTGATGTCTAGGAAAGAGCAGAAGACAAAAACTTACCAGTCAGTTAAGTCTTTTATTCTTTTATTGTTTAGAGTTCCAATTGAAAGGAAACAGTATTGATGTTATCTTGGTAAGTGCTCTAGGAAAATTATTAAAAGCATGTTGTTTGCGATAATTTTATCACTTTTCTAATTGGTCATGATTATTCTTAGCTGAAGAAGTCCACATTTATTAAATGTGTCACTTCTTAAAATTCAGAAGCGCTTAACTCCGTTGGCACATTTAGCTTCAGTGTTGACATGCTCTTGGATGGAGCTTAACAGCCAACTGGCATATGGCCTGTTTCCTTCCAGTGTGGGGAAAAAGAAAGGAATTTTGGCAAGAGATACCTGAGGAGAGCCTTTTAGAAAGGTTCCCAAAGGGATTTATAGTCACTGTGAAATAGACATGACCTCAATTTTTTTAAATCTCATTTTTAAACTGAACTTAAACTTCTCTCATTTTTAGAGAAGGGGGAGCTGTTGCTTTTCTTACTAAGTTTCATTGCAACTGTGCTGAAAAGCATTTTTTCCTTGCCTCTTTTTGAGGGGATGGGTACAAAAAACTGGTAGAGCTTCTGAAAGTCTCGACATTTGTGAGTATGCTAATAGCTCTTACAAACGAATTTCACACAATCTGTACCGAGTCAGCTAGGAGTCAGCAGGCTTGATGTCAGCTGGTCAAACACATCTCAGCAGATCAGTTGCTGTTCAGTATGACATTTGAAAGTTTCAAACTGCAGCTCCAAAGACTCTTCCCACTGCATTTATTCTCATAGGGCAGAGGTCCCTACCACACTGTCATTCTGTTCAATCTAAGAGAAGGTGGGCCTGAGAACAACTCCATGTGTTTTGTTTTTCTAGGAAAATGCAACATGGCAGCAGCTATGGAAACAGAACAGCTGGGTGTTGAGATCTTTGAAACTGCAGAGTGTGAGGAGAATATTGAATCAGGGGATCGGCCCAAATTGGAGCCATTTTATGTTGAGCGATATTCCTGGAGTCAGCTTAAAAAGCTGCTTGCCGATACCAGAAAATACCATGGCTACATGATGGCTAAGGCACCACATGATTTTATGTTTGTGAAGAGGAGTGATCCAGATGGGCCTCATTCAGACAGGATCTATTACCTTGGTGAGTATGAAGTCAGTTTATGAGCAGAAATGCTTTATTAATTCAATCTTAGAAGCTCGATACAACTGGCAAATTAAAAATGCGTCAGTGATGGTACCATTAAAGGAAAAATCTGCTTTGAAGAACTTCAGTTTTGGTGCTGTTTTAATTTTGGTTTGTCCCGTTAACTTTATTTTACTTTCAGGTAACAAATCATGGATTGATCATGATCTTATTTTCAGTGTCAAAGTTAAAGATGCCAGAAATTACCTTCCTAAAGCTAGTTCAAAATGCCTCTCATTAGTAATGGTCAGATTAGGAGCACAAACTCTTATGTCATTAGTTTATTCCCACTTTTAACAGGTACTGCTTTCATTTTTTTAAACCATTACTGGTTTTGGTCTCTTCTTCCAGAGTCCATTCAGTCCAGATTTAAAGTCTATCTAAATTAAATATATCATGCCACCGATTAAATTTTTTGTTTTAAATTTTTTAACAGGTTTCCTCCTCTTTCTCGTGTGTGTGTGTGTGTGTATTTTAACATATTCTGTGGAGGAATCTGTATTGGTAATGATAGATTCATTCATTTAAACAACTCCAGAGTATTCCAGTATATAACTGTGCCATATTTTACTTAACCAGACCTCTAATAATGGGCATTTAGGTTTTTCTGTTTTGCTATTACAAAAGATGAAGTAGACTCCAGGCCAGGCACAGTTGGAGCATCATCTTGTGAACCAGAAGGTTGTGGGCTCAATTTCTGGTTGGATCATATGGCCTCCGTTGTGGGTTCAGTCCCTGGTTGGCGCATGCGAGGGGTGGCCAATGGGTATGTGTCTCTCACATCAGTGTTTCTCTCCCCCCCGACCCCTCTCTCTTAAAAAATAAAATGAGGTAGTGAACATCACAGTATTAGATGATTTTGTATATGTGTGAATTTATTTATAGAACTAATTCCAAAGAGGGGAATGAATCGCTGGGACAAAAGGGCATATATTCTGAATTTTTATTGATATTACTGAATTGCCCCTCCAGTGAGCTTATAGAGTTTATATTCCTATCAGTATTGTATCTAAGTATCTATTTCTCCAAACCTGTATCAACAGTGAGTAATCAAAATGTTTTATCTTTTTCATTCTGTTTAGTGAACAACAGTCTCTGTAGGTTTTTTTCATTGTTATTTTTTAAATTGAGGTATAAGTAACATAACATATTAGTTTCCAGCGTACAACATAATGATTCAGTATTTGTGTGTACTGCAAAATGATCACCACGGTAAATCTAGTTAACATTAGTATCTTATATAGTTAACAGAAAAAGACTTTTCTTGTGATGAGAATTTTTAAGACCTGCTCTTTGAGTAACTGTCAGATACGCACTACAGTGTTATGAACTACAACCGCCACCCCATGTCCCCTGGCAGTGAGCAGCTACATTCTCTTATAAGTGAGGGCAGCATCTTTTCACATACTTAAAAGACATTTGTATTTCTTTTTTCCGCGACCCATTTATAATCATTGTCTGTTTCTTACTGTGTTGTGGGTGTTTTTCTTACTGACTTAAAGCATTTTTTGGTATGATGGGGTAATCCTTTTGGTATTTTCCTTTGAGGTTTCATTTGTCTTTTGCCATGTAGAGACTTTGGGGGGGGTGGTTAAATTTTTATTTTTATGTAGTTTTGCAATATCTAGAGAGGTTTTCCAAACTCCAACGTTATATTTTTAAAGAAATCTTTATGTATATATTTTCTAAGACTTTATTTTAGAGAGAGGGAAAACAGGGAGAGAAATATCTTCCATTTAAGAGATTCATTGATCAGTTGCCTCTTGTACACCCCCATCTGGGGACCTGGCCTGAAACCCAGGTACATGGGCCAGATGGGAATCGGACCGTTGACCTTTCACTTTGCAGGCCAGCACTCAGTCCACTGAGCCCCACCATCGGGGCAAGAAATCTTGATATATTTTAGGCATTCTATTTTGTTCCATTTATCTGTTGTGCCAATACTGTGCTGCTACAATTATCATAGCTTTGTATGTTTTACTGTTTGATAGCACTAGTTGCTCTTCGTCACTCTTTTTCATACCTTTTTTTTTACTATTTTTGTTTGCTTGTTTTCCTGTGAGAACTTAAAGTTAGCATGTATAGTGCTTTTCTACAAATTCTGTTCATACAGTTTAAGATTACATTATATTTATAGATAAAGTTAGGGGAAAATGACAGTCTTTAGAATGTTGAGCTTTTCAAAAAGTTGTATGCCTTTTCATTCGTTCAGGTTTTATGTCCATTTGAATTTAAAATTTTTTCTCAATATAAATACATTGTTTTAAATTTTTAAATATACTTCAAACAGTTAATAATTCACGTATTATCAGAAAATAAACAGTGGGAAAAGCCTATTTTGTGCTTACACAGATGGTGTGTATGAACATAGAATGCCTTGGAAATTTTGAAGAATTTTAAAGTTATAGTTGACATTCAGTATTATATTAGTTTCAGGTGCATGGCATAGTGGTTAGACATTTATATAACTTAAGAAGTGATTCCCCACCCATGACACATTGACTTGGAAATTTGTGTTGGTCGCTGATGAAGCCAAGGGAAACGCAACAGAGTAAGGAGAAGTTTCAAGAGGGGCAACTGGAGTGGTGATGGGAAAGCCTCTCGTTTGAGGGTAGTTGTGAACCAGTTTTTTTCATATTTGAGGGCTGAAGACTCTTAGAAGGGAGAGCTTAAGGAGGATATGATCACATTTATTGTAGTTGAATTGTAAATGGTAAAGGTAGGTGACTGCAATCTCAAGAATTCTATAACAAAGTAACTTGGAATATATAAAGTAGATTTACAGCAAAAGCATGTGCTGAAGTAAATGTCAGCTGGTATTTAACTTTTTACTCCAAAAGGCAACACAAACTAAGGAAGGTTTAAGAAAAGTGTAGGAAAATAAGGGAAAAGGAAGATAACGCTATTTCAGGGCTCATCTTCAACCTTTGGACGCGTGGGAGTTTCCATGCCCTTCCACAGACTGTCTTCTCTGCCTCTATCCAAAGCACTAGGCTAAGACTCTGTTCCACCCAAGAGTTTCTTGCTCTGACTATGAGATTTATTTTCTCCTTTCCTTCACTCTCCTAGCTTTTTGGAGGCAATACCTTTCTAATGCCATTTAGGGTTCAAGGGTTTTTTTTTTTTACTTTGAGTTTTCTTTGGTTCGCATCTTCAAAACCAAAGTGTATCAGTATTTCTATTTTCTTTTGTAGATCGGTCATTGTACACTGCTGTGATTTCCCATTCAGTTATTGCATGATAGACTTAGTTTCTACTTAATACATACCTCTTTCCTTCACCCTTCCCCAAGAGAAGAAGAGATTTTTAGCAAATCAGAGAGCAGTTCTGTGTAGTTTGACTGTGAGTACACTTTCATTTGAAACTTATTAGTGATTACATTTGTAATGAAGAAAAACTACCCTGGCTGGTGTAGCTTAGTGGATTGAACATGGGCCTGCGAACCAGAGGATCGTGGTTCAATTCCCAGTCAGGGCACATGCCTGGGTTGCAGGCCAGTTCCCAGTAGGGGATGCAAGAGAGGCAATCATACATTGATATTTTTCTCTCCCTCCCCTCCCCTCCCCTCCCTTCCCAATAAATAAATAAATAAATAAACAAATAAATAAATAAATAAAATCTTTAAATTAATGAGATCCAAATAGCAATCTTTAAGTAAAAAAACTCAGATGAGTAAGATTTCTTATATATTTCCACCATAAGTACTTTAATGCCTGGAAATATAGAAAGGTCTAGTCATCTGAAGTTCTTACAAAGCATGCTCATTTGGAATCTCATTAATCTTTGCCAACTTTTAAGAGACTAACAATTTTCAAAAAAACTGACATGATACTTGTCCATACATCATTTTATATACTATTATGGTTTTCTTTTTAGAGAGGGACTAAGATCTGAATGTCAGAATGAAACAGCATTTTTCTGTGAAGTCCAAGTTTTATTGCAGCAAATTCCCATGGCGTATGGTGTGTGCATCTCCTACTTGTTAATGTTTATTATGGATCCCATAGAGAACAGAAATTTGCAGATACAGAAGACATTTGGTACCTACTACTATGATTGCAGTAGATCACTATTTTTAAAAAATGATTTTAAAAAAGATTGTTTTCTCTTATAGCTATGTCTGGTGAGAACAGAGAAAATACACTGTTTTATTCTGAAATTCCCAAAACCATCAACAAAGCAGCAGTCTTAATGCTTTCTTGGAAGCCTCTATTGGATCTTTTTCAGGTAGGATTAGACATTGTTATTCCTGCAATTTGGTATATGTTTTTAGCATTTATTTAGAGGCAGAAATTCAAATGGGCTTTTATATTTGAAGTAGATGTGAATCAGAGAACATACTTTGATTACATGACTCTTTTGCAAATTATTGAGTCTTGTTTTATGGCCCAGAATATGGTTCCTCTTGGTAAATGGTTTGTGTTTACTTGAAGAGAATATATGTTCTGCTATTGTTGGGTCTATAAATGAACATTATATCAAATTGGTTTATTATATTGTTTGAGTCTTCTATGTCCTTACTGATTTCCTGTTTGTTCTATCAGTTATGGAAAGAGAATGTTGGAATCTCTTTCAACATTGTAGATTTGACCATTTTTCTTTGTGTTTCCATTAGTTTTTGCTTTATTGTTTTGAAACCTATTAGGTACATAAGTGGATAGGATTATTGAGCCCTCCTGATAAATTAAATCCTTTATTGTTAGGAAATGACCTTCTTTGTATCTAGCAATATTCTTTACTGTGAAATGTACTTTAATATTAAAGTAAATTTAATATTTACTTTAACTGGAATACAGCCACTCCAGCTTTCTTTTGATTAATGTTAATAGGGAATATGCTTTTGCATTCTTCTTTTTTTCTATCAGGTTTTATTAAGATACAATTCACATACCACACAAGTCACTCCAAGTATACACAGTTCAGTGGTTTTTAGTGTATTCACAGAGTTATGCAGTTATCATCAAATCTAATTTTAGAACATTTCGTCATCCCCATAAGAAACTCATTAGCCAGCACTCCCTATCTCCCCACACTCCCTGCCCCAGATCTGAGCAACACTAATATTTGAGTCACTGTAGATTTGCCTATACAATATGTGGGCCTCCATGACTGGTTTCACTTACCACTATTTCCTGGATTCATTTACTTTGTAGCAAATAGCAATACTTCATTTATTTTTATGGCTGGCTCATGTTCTATTGTATGGCTATACAGTAGCCCCCCCAACTTATTTGTGGGGGATACATTCCAAGACCTGCAGTGGATACCTGAAACCACAGATAATACTGAGCTCTGTATATACTATATGTTTTCCTATACATGTAATACTGCTTATGTATACCTTTGATGAAGTTTAATTTATAAATTAGTCACAGTAAGAGCCCTGGCCAGTGTGGCTCAGTAGGTTGGAGTGTTGGCCTATAAACCAAAAGGTCTGAGTTTGATTCCTGGTCAGGGCACATAGTTAGGTTGCAGGTTTGATCCCTGGTCAGGGTGCATACAGGAGGCAATTGATCAGCGTTTCTCTCTCACGTTTATTCTTTTTCTCCCCCCCCCCCGCCCCCGCCCCACCCCTTTTCTTTCTCTCTAAAATCAATAAACCTATCCTCAGGTGAGGATTTTAAAAAAGACATTTTTTTAAAAAGTGGTACAGTGGCCCTGGCTGGTGTAGTTCAGTGTATTGAATGCTGGCCTGAGAACCAAAAGGTCTCTAGTTTAATTCCCAGTCAGGGCACATGCCTTGGGTTGCGGGCCAGGTCCCCACTGGGGGGCACGTGAATGCAACCACGCATTGATGTTTCTCTCCCTCTCTTTCTTCCCCTTTCCCCTCTGTTTAAAAATAAATAAATGAAAAAATTTTAATATATTGAATAAGTGGTACAATGAATACAAGAAACTAGAGGAGCTTTTACCAGCATTCCAAGGTTGTCCCTTTTTTAATCTCATCTAACATTATTTCAGGTTTGCAAGTACACATCTGTATTTGCCATCTTTGAAAACAATGTTTATTTTCAGTGTGCTGACTTAATTTTGGAGTGGTACATTCCTTCCAAGAAGCTCATCGAGACCTCTTTTTTTTTTTTTTTTTTTTTTTGTGAGAGAGAAACATTGATTTGTTGTACTTATTTAGGCATTCATTGGTTGATTTCTTGTATTGCCCTTTTTGAAGAAATTAAGCTACTTGCTCAAAGTCAGACTTCTAGTGAAGGTCAGAGCCTAGATTCAAACCTCTTAACACATGTAAAATTGCTAAGTAACATTTCAGTAATGTAGAAGATCTTGAATGCCAAGCCAAGGTAATGAGATGTAGTTCTTGTTCTCAAATGTATGTAACAATCATCTAGAGACCCTTTACCAAGATACCTTTCAGCAGACTTCCTCAAATTAATCTACTTAATGTTGCTGGCAAATTTTGAGGTCACTGAAAATGTAGACTTAATAACATTCGAGATGCTGGAATTTCAGTGCTAAAAGCAAAATCAAGCTTTCAGAAGACTGAAACAGGCAATTTCTCTTTTTGTTTGCATTAGGCAACACTGGATTACGGAATGTATTCTCGAGAAGAAGAACTGTTAAGAGAAAGAAAACGCATTGGAACAGTTGGAATTGCTTCTTATGATTATCACGAAGGAAGTGGAACATTCCTCTTTCAGGCTGGCAGTGGAATATATCATGTAAAAGATGGAGGGCCACAGGGGTTCACTGTAAGTTGGCAGTATTACTCATTAACTGTATTTTGGGGGTCCTAAAGGTTATTTGCACCCAAATCAGAAAGTTAATTAAACAAACCAAAATATTCTGTTTACCCATCAACTAAGAAATTTAGTAGTGAAGAAAACAAGGAATTTGGGTGTTAATTTCCAATTTTAAGAGTTCATTTATCCATTGACACTAATATATAGTTTTAAATGCTAAAAACACTTGCTGTGTAAGAAGACACAGTAAAGGGCATCGATGCCCACTTTCCAAGTGCTGAGGAAGGTCTGGGAGGGTATTATCACAAGGCAGTCCATTTTTGGTATTCTTAAGAGCTTAATTCATCTTAATAAATGGTTTAAATGTTTGGTTTTGTTCCAGGCAATTTTTTATGTGCTACTAGAACTATTCGTTTGATAGAATTGTGATGATTCTGGCTTTCATGAGATTTTTATGAGCCAACTATTTTATATTGGTAAAATTAATTTGAAATGTTTAATAAATAAAATGAAAAGTTTAATAAAAGTACTTCATAAATAATTATTTTATTAAATGGGTTTGGGCAACAAAATTTATGAAGTGCTGTTATATCATCTTTATTTCCTCTCCTGTTATGTTTAGCTTTCTAATTCATCTTTTCAAAAATGACTCCTTTCTTATAAGTTAAGGTATATGAAAATATTTTTCTGGGGTGCAGTTATCATAGTTGACATTTTATTTGGAATTACTGTTTTCTAGGAAGAGTACTGGCAAATGAGTGTGTGTGTATTAACCTGATTCTTGCCTTAAAACGTTTATTTTTCTAGCAACAACCCTTACAGCCCAATTTGGTGGAGACTAGTTGTCCCAACATTAGGATGGATCCAAAATTATGCCCAGCTGATCCGGACTGGATTGCTTTTATACATAGCAATGACATTTGGATCTCCAACATTGTAACCAGAGAAGAAAGAAGGCTCACCTATGTGCACAATGGTAATGACAGTTCTCAAAACCCACTTTTCTGAAGAGTATTTTTAAAATGTAATCTGCATTTGCTTACATTTTGCAAATGAAGCAAAGTGGATAATCTTTATATTTTGTATTCAAATCTCTAAAATTAAAAAAGAAAACAGTACAGACAGTAAGTGGTACGTATTACCTGTGCAATGCTGCCTTGTATTAATGTTCACTCCCAGACAGCACAGCAGCAGCGCCCCTGGTGTGATTATTCTCTTAGCCAAGTGAGACTGCCAGAATTTTCCCAATCTGCTCTCAGTAAAGTAAAATTTTAAACAGAAAAAAACTAATACTGTAAGAACTACCTGAAGACTTATCTCCCTTTTTTGGAGCGCCTCCTTAGTTATTTTGTCATAATAGGAAAAACAGGACTTTGTAGAACTGTGTGTATAATGGGAATACTTAATTCTTACTGAGGTAACTAGAATAGCCCTAAGCACTACTCACAGCACAGAAAAGATGTAGATGTTTGCCTCTGAAGCTTTCAAAAGATGGAAGCTGGGAGATAATGTATTGCTTTTTCTTTGAACATGTGAAACAGAGCTTAAAGATGAACTCCATGATGAAGAATGGTCACTCTGATAATTTGTCCAACTTTTGCTTAATGTTCACAAAGTTGATTTATTGGGCATCTTCCTTAATAAGTTATTTGAGAATATAATAATGTATTGACAGCAAACATTTTCTTCATTAGAATAATCAGGATTGTAGAAGAAGCCTTTTCCTGAACAATTGATAGAAAGACCACTGAATTAGGAGTCCAAAAACCTGTTCTATTAGTCAATCAACCAAAATACATTAAGTTCCTATGTGCCAGACATTGTGGCAGGAACTAATGATGCAGAATTGAGTGAGACATAGATCTGGCCCTCAAGGAAATCGTATAAACAAATGACAGGAAAACAAAATGATGATAAGCAAATACAGGGTGTTATGAGAGCACCGTGGAGGGGTAGTGATCAGAAGGGATTCCCAGAAGAGGGGGCGCCTGATCTTAAATGACTGCACAGTGGCTAGTACGCTACAGGCGCAGAGACTGGATGAGAACGGTCTTGATGCGGAAGGTACCACAGTGTGTGTGAGGAGCTAGAAGCAATGTGATGATCTTAGAGCATGGGGTCTGAGTTGAGAAGCAGGGATAGACAAAAGTGACAGGTGATAAAAGCCAGGACAAGGGTAGACTCTAGCTCATGTAAATGGATATTGTCTTTGTTATGATATGGGGGACCGTTGAAAAGTTCTGGCAGTGGAGTGGCGTGGTCAGGGTCACACCGTAGATGAATTGTTTAGAGTACTTTGTGAAAGTTATATTTCAGAAGCACATGACTAGAGACAGGGACACCCAAGTTTGACTGTTGCAGTTATTTAGGACTTATGGCCTGAAACTAGAGCATAAGGTACAGAGAAGGGGTAGAGTAGGAAAAATTTTAAGTAAAAAGTATATTTTTGATGTTTAATGGTTCTCCACTTGGAGTCAGGAAATTAGAACAGCTACCAATGGTAGTGGAAAGGTTAGGTTGGTAGTTAGTAAATCTAGATTGGAAATCTTTGCAATTTTTTTATGTTTTCAACAAACTTTGAACACTTACTGTGTCCTAGTTATTGTACTTGAGCCTGACTCTGCGAAGTCCTGATGATAACAGATTAATTGGAAGCGAAGAAATCTGTTCTAACTGTTCAGTCAATCAAACAAAAATCGGTGTTAAGTGCCTGTGTGCCAGGCAGTGTGGCAGAAACTAAGGATACAGAATTGAATAAAAATACAGTTCGGGCCCTCAAGAAACTGTAGAGTTAAGGCACACTTTGGTCAGTTTTTTTTCCTTCTGTGGAATTGTTTTCCACACAGCATTATTGTGAAGATTGGCAGAATTCAAAATAGACAGCATTGAAACACTGCCAAGTTCTTTAATAGTGTTTTTATTTTTTTCTTTTGTGTACACGTAGGTATGTGGTATATTTAAAAGAAAGGCTAATTAATAACATGTCACCATAGGGTTTTCATGAGGTTTTAATGAGTCAGTAGTTGTGAAGTGGTTAGGACATTGTCTGAAGCACAGTAAGTGCTATGCGTTTGTTTAGATAGAAAGGTAAGTAGAGAGGGAGCGTCATCATTCTTACTCTTCTTATTCACAACAGCTTTTCAAGTGAGTCTGCCTTCAGGCGGGTTCAGGCATCAGTGCGCGCGCGCGCGCGTGTGTGTGTGCGTGTGCGCGCGTGTGTGTGCGCGCTCCACGTAGTGTGGTAGAGGAACTTAAAAGTCATGTTCATACCACCTTCTACTATCAGATGATGTATCTCATGGAGAGAATAAGATAATTACCATTTATTCATTTAGTAAATAACTATTGATAATTAAGAGCTGAAGTAAGTAATAGGGAATTACAAATGAGTGATTCTTATTTTATAAAGGAGAACAAAATATAAAACAATTTTGGGGGTATAAATTTGGGGTAGTTGAAAGATCCAAGAAAACTGAGCACTGGTTTTGGCTATATCATTAATTCTAAGATTTAAAAAGCTTTAAAAACTCAGATTATTTTTCATTAGCTTGGTGCTAAAACTTACTTGGTAGCAAAACCTGACCTAACCTGACCTGGGGATATGTATAATTTTAATCCTACTTAGTGTGCCTATTCACATATTTGCTGCAGGAATATTGGTGTATTAGATTACAGGGTATTTGATTACCCTGCTGGAGATGTTACATAATCACATGGTAGATACATAGTACATGAAAAATCCCCAAAATTCTGAGTTCCAACCAGCTCTTTTTTTTTTCTTTTAAGATTTTATTTATTTCTAGAGAAAGGAGAAGGGAGGGAGGGAAAGAGAAAGGGAAAGAAACATCAATCGGCTTCCCCTTGCATGCCCCTGACTGGGGACCTGGCCTGTATCCTGGACATGCGCCCAACCAGAAATCAAACTGGCAGCTTTTCAGTTTGTGGGGTGATGCCCAACCCTCTGAGCAACGCCAGCCAGTGCTCTAAACACTCCTGAACTCAGAAATTTTGGATAAGGGATGATTGGTTTATACTACACATTCATTTCAGACGATATACAGAAAATACAGACAAAATAGGTTAAAGTTAAACTCACTATGAGATATTACTCTACATACCCATTAGACTGGCTAAAGTGAAAAAGAGCATCAAAGGTTGGAGAGGCTCTTTCATCATACATTTCCACTAAGCATATGACATAATACAAATACTTTGGAAAACTGGCAGTTTCTTAAAGGTTAAACATATACTCACCATACTATGCAGCCATTTCACTCCTAAGTCATTATTTAAGAGAAGTAAAAACATACATCCTCAAAGATTTTTTTTCTTAGCAACTGGTGGTCCATTATTGAAAAGGTTAATTTAAGCACCTGCAGTGGTTACTTCAGCCTGGACTCGACTCCTGGCTCAGTACTGATGTGCCGTGGTCCGGCCGCAGCGGGTCAAGGGGTCCCACAGGTGAGGGTAGGCGTTGGCGCTGGGTAATAGACGACAACACACCTCAAAGGACAGTGAGCTCTGTTCCGTTTATTGCAAGTACAAGCAGGTTTTTATATTTTCATTTTAGGTAGTGATTAACATTTGCAGTATAACATCATTTAAGCAGAAAAAATCAATGCAAAGGTAATCAGTAAAAGTACGAAAATTCCCATAGATTTAGTTAAAGATTATTTTAACTAGGAGAGCCATTAATCAGACAATTAGAAGTATCGCCCTGGCTGGTGTAGCTCAGTGGATTGAGTGCGGGCCTGCGAACCAGAGGATCATGGTTCGATTCCCAGTCAGGGCACATGCCTGGGTTGCGGGCCAGTTCCCAGCAGGGGACACTGAGAGGCAACCATGCATTGATATTTCTCTCCCTCTCTCTTTCCCCTCTAAAGATAAATAAAACCTTTAAAAAAAAAGTATCTTATTGTATATTAAAGTTTCTCAGAATTTGTCATAGGGCAAAAGGATACGCTAGATTGAGTAGAGAAAATAGGAAATTTATTATAAGGCCCTTGTGATGTCTAATTAGCTATCCATCTTTTTTTTGCTTAAAATGTTTTTCTGTGTACTATAAATTCTGACTCCTTAGTAACTGTTTAGTTTGTAATAACTAACTAGCCTTTGTTATTACTTTGCCTGTCTAGTTGATATATATTCCTATTCAAGGTAAAGGAGGGGCTATTCCTATGTTGCAGGGGGCTTTCAAGGGTACTTCTTTTAAGTTTCTTTGAGTTCTTTTATAGACATGTTTTGTACTTTGATTCTCTCTAAGAAAGTAGTGAGATCATCTCCTGATTTCCTAGAGTATTCTATCTTATCTTGGGTGTTTTTCTAATGATCTGTTATTGATTAAGCTTGAATTCTCAGATTGTTCTGGTTGTTTCTTTGTACCTACATTCCCTGACGTTCTAGTATGATATTATTATTTTGTTCATTGAGCTGGGAAAGGTCTAGGCACACTATCTGAATCACTGCCAGGGTATTCATAATGATTAAAGCAGAAAAGGGTCATGATCCCCAAAGCAAGCACAATCACAATAGGTATTGCAGGGCCTTCCATGCCACGTCCACCAGGTTGGAAACTGCTTCCTTGAAGTCTTACACCCCCTCTCAGGACCTTGTCACGGAGAGAGGGATCCAACAGTGGACGTGGCAGTGGACGTGGCACTGATGGAAGTAATCTGCTTGACCATCTCAGAAGGACTGCGCAGGTGGATCCTTATCTGAAAACGATCCCGAGTCTAACACCTTCCCCACAGAGTTTTTCTCATAGTGATTTTTGGAGTCTTGGTAGGCATCCGAACTGATCTTTTCACTTCCCACTTCTTATCCTTTGCATCCCTGAGCAAGTCAGCACACGTGTGCTCCAAAGATTTTACAGCTGCAATCCAAAGATTGCAGCTGGTTAGAGTAATTGTAAGTCGGTGAATCGCCACCTCTGGTTCCCCTGGTGTTTTTCCAGTGTCTTTCAAAGCCATAGCTGTAGCGGTGCTGCCTGACTGCCAGTTCTCAGAGCAGTCAGTGCTGTGTTGGAAGCAGGAGTGGGTGGAACAGAGCCCTGCTACAGCTGCTATAACATCTTCCTCAAAGAGCCACAGTGATTCTTATACAAGAATGATCATGGCATCTTTTTTGATAATAGCCAAAAATTAGAAGCAGCCCAGATGTCCAATAACAGATAAATGGAGAAAAGAACTGTGCTATACAGTAGACTACCACTCAGCAATAAACAGGAATTACTGATGCATTGATATAACATGGTGTTAATGCAACACTGATTGATCTCAAAGAGCAGACAGACACAAAATAGATACTGTATAATTTCATTTATATGCTGTTCTAGAATATGCAAAACTAGCTTATGGTGATGAAAATCAGATCAACAGCTGCTTCTGGGCAAAAACGTCCATTGACTGAAAGGGGGCATGAGAGGACATTCTGGAATGTTGGGAGTATTCTGTACCTTGTTAGGGTTTGGATAAGGGATGATTGGTTTATACTATACATTCATTTCAGACGATATATAGAAAATACAGACAAAAATAATAGGTTAAAGTTAAACTCACTATGAGATATTACTCTCATAGTGAGAGTAATACACTTGTTATACAAGTGTATGCATTTCTCAAAAACAAAAAGGATACTAAAGGTTTTATAAATTATAAACCGGTTTTTTGAAAAATCCTATCCGTAGTCTCACTATTTAGAGAAAACCACATCTTGATTTAAATCCCAATATATTTTAATATATATATTTGTGTAACATTTTTATAAATGGAATTACAGTGTACATGTCATTTTGTAATATGCTTTTGTTTAATTCAAGAATATTGTAACCATTTCCTCATGTTATGAAATCTTATGCAATTACGGCTTTGTCATTTTTATTGCTTTTGTTTTTCTTTATTTTTATTTTTTTAATATATTTGATTGACCATGCTATTACAGTTGTCCCATTTTTTTGTCCCCTTTATTCTCAACCGCCCTGTACCCTTCCTCCCACCAGCATTCCCCCCCATTAGTTCATGTTGGTGGGTTTACATATCTTTGGCTTCTCCATTCCCTATACTGTTCTTAACCTTCCTGTGTCTGTTTTATGCCCACCAATTATGCTTCTTAGTCCTTGTAACATCCCCCTCATTCTCCCCTCCCCTTCCTCACTGATAACCCTCCATGTGATGTCCATTTCTGTGATTCTGTTCCTGTTCTACTTGTTTTGCTAAAAACATCGTTTCTGTTTTTTAGTTTTTAAATTCAGTTATCGATAGTTGTGAGTTTATTGTCATTTAGTGTTCGTAGCTTTGATCTTCTTTTTCTTCTTTTTCTTTTTCTAGTCCCTTAAAGGGACTTAAATAAATCCCTTTAACATTTCATATAATAAGGGCTTGGTGATGAGGAACTCCTTGAATTTGACCATATCTGGGAAGCACTTTATCTGCCCTTCCATTCTAAATGATAGCTTTGCTAGATAGTGTAATCTTGGATGCAGGTCCTTGCCTTTCATGACTTGCAATATTTCTTTCCTGCCCTTTCTTACATGCAAGGTTTCTTTTGAGAAATCAGCTGATGGTCTGATGGGCACTCCTTTGTAGGGAACTGTCTCCTTTTCTCTTGATGCTTTTAAGATTCTCTCCTTCTCTTTAATCTTGGGTAACTTAATGATGGTGTGTCTTGGTGTGTTTCTCCTTGGATCCAACTTCTTTGAGACTCTGAGCTTCCTGGACTTGCATGCCTGGTGCCTTTGCCACTGGGGAAATTTTCCTTCATTATTTGTTCAAATAAGTTTTCCATTTCTTGCTCTTCCTCTTCTCCTCTGGCACCCCTGTGATTCAGATGTTGGAACGTTTAAAGTTGTCCCAGAGGTTCCTAAGCCTCTCCTCCCTTTTTAATTTCTCGTTTCTTCCTTCTGTTCTGGTTGAATATTTATTTCTTCCTTTTGCTCCAAATTGTTGATTTGGGACCCAGTTTCCTTCCCTTCACTATTAGTTCCATTTATATTTTTCTTTATTTTACTTTGCGTAGCCTTCACTTTTTCCTCTATCTTGTGACCATATTCAACCCTTTCTGAGAGCATCCTGATTACTAGTGTTTTGAACTCTGCATAAGAGAAGGTTGGCTATCTCTTCATGGCTTAGTTCTATTTTTGGAGCTTTGATCTGTTCTTTTACTTGGGGCATATATTTTTGTCACTCATGCCTGTTGCATAGTAAGGGGAGGAGCCTTAAGTATTCACCAGGGCAGGGCAACCCATGTAGATGCGTTGTCACGCTCTATGTGGGGGAGGAGTATGAGAGGCAACAATTCAGCTTGCTCGGCTCTGGGCTGGCTTTCAGTCACTTTGCTGGCTAACCCCAAGCAAAATGTGCCCTTCCGGTGCTGGTTCCTGGGTGGGTGGGCTTGTTTAGTTCTAGGACCCTGTGGGTCTCACCAAAGAACTCTCCTATGAGGCTGTGAGTTTCTCCTGCCGCCACAGCCCCAAAAGTGTTTACAGCTAGAGGTTTGGGGCTTTATTTCTCGTGCTGGAACCCAGGTTGTACGGTCTGCGTCACTTCCCATTTGTTCCTTCCCGGTTGTCTGCATGCAAATACAGGACCACCCAGTCTGCCAGCCACCACCTTGCCCTCCCTGTCCGCCACCTAGCTTTGAGTCCTCCCCTCCCCAGCTGCCTGTCTCTGCCCCTCCTAGCAGTCTGGATAAATGTTTCTTTAACTCCTTGGTTGTCCGACTTCCATACAGTTCGATTTTCTGGCAGTTCTGGTTATTTTTCATTTTTAAATTTGTTGTCCTTTTGGTTGGGCAAGGAGGCAAAGCTTATCTACCTGTGCCTCCATCTTGGCTGGAAGTCTACTATTGTTTTTGTTTTTAGAGCACAAGTTCCCTTCAAACTATTTGCTGGAAATTTTAAGTATAAAACAGACCAAAACTGAGCTGCTCTGGTTAAAGGGAGAAGAAATCATGAATTACATGATTTTTTAAGACCCATTCTAGGTCTAAAGATGTACTTCTCTGTATAGAAGAGTTCCAAGCAATATGACCCTTTATGTGTTTTTTCATGATTCTAGCTACATTGGAAAATAATAACATTTATGAAGCATATACTATGGTTTAGATTCTAAGTGCTTTATGTGAGTTCATTTATTTAATCCTCATAACAGCCTTAAAAGGTAGGTTCTTAGTCCCATTACAAATGGAACACTTCAGTGGAATGAGATTAGGTGATCTGCCCAAGGTCAGTCAATCAGTCGATGGTGGAGCTCACATTTGAATTCGGCCCATTTGGCTCCAGAGTTCACCACTGTACCACAGCTGTCTTTGAAAATTAACTGAATCATTCTGCTTTGTACCCATGAAAAGACAGAGAACATGCTGTGACAATTTTGCCTTTTATGTTTATCTAGAGCTAGCCAACATGGAAGAGGATCCCAGATCAGCTGGAGTTGCTACCTTTGTTCTTCAAGAAGAATTTGATAGATACTCTGGCTATTGGTGGTCTCCAGAAGCTGAAACAAGTAAGGGGGTTCAATATTATAGAGAGAGAGTTCACTAAAAGCTTTAGGAGATTTAACTGCCAATTACTTAAGTGCACATTTCTAAATCTTGGTGTGTAGATTCTGAAGTGATGAAGATTAGATTCTATTAGTGATTATTTAGAATGTATAGGCTGTATTCTACCATAATGAATTCTAATAAAAACAATGGTGCTGTGGTTCATTGATTTTGGCCCTTCAACTTCCCTTGCCAATTTTTCATCTAGAAGCTTGTCTTAGTAATATTGGTGGCGAAATACCAAAATGCCATACCATAATTAGTTGTAGGATTGACTGGGGAATCTTTATTTACAGGTGGCCCAATTAGTGTTTGAAATGGATCAGGAAAAGGCACAAATTCCATTTTTTTCCTGGTGAATTTACAACTCTTTCACTGCCTGAGAAACAGCTGTCTAAAGCAGTGGCCGACCATGACCCAAAGAGAAATTTGCTTTACATTCTAATACATTGTACAATATACTATCGGTATGAAACTAGAAAATAAGTGTTTTGAAGCAGTACTTACACGTACGTGTAACATACTCGTGTATTTTTTTCTCTTGTATTTTTTAACTGTTCTGAGTGATGGATCTATTTTTTTAAAGGTTTTTTTAATTTATGTTTTAGAAAGGGGAAAGGGGAGGGAGAAAGAAAGAGAAACATCAGTGTGTGGTTGCCTCTCACATGGCCCTCACTGGGGACCTGGCCCGCAACCCAGGCATGTGCCGTGACTGGGAATCGAACCAGTGACCTTTTGGTTTGCAGCCCACGCTCAATCCACTGAGCTATGCCAGCCAGGGCAGTTGTTCTATATTATAGTTGTAATTTTGATGTGGTTGTGTGAAGAGGTGAACCATGTCTGCCTGCACTGCTATCTTGACCAGAACTTATTCCTATTGTATTTTTTAACTGGTTATGCCCCATTAATAGATTTCATTAGTGGACTGTAACCCACTAGTGGATTACAGCTAGCGTCTGAACACTTCTCTAAGGGGTCATGAAAATAAAATTATTTTTAATCCATGTCTTAGATTTGGACATTTTATTTTAAGATGTAAAATGTTTTGCTACAATTGTACTTTTTTAGAGCAAGATTTTGGCATGAATTAGAGAAACTATTCAAAAAAACAGACTCTTTTAAAATAGCATTTATCTGTTAAGGAAGTATTACAAATGTAATTAAGTAATTTATTTTCTAATAAGCAGTACATGTTAATGTATGCAAGAACCAGAGTGTTTCACTTGTGTTTCCCTGTTTTAATTATGTATCTACATGTAATTATCTTCAGTTTTTCCCCTCCAAAAGGAGTTAACATTTATTCACTAGTAAGTATGGCTTAGCAGAAATTCACCTTGCCACACTGCAAAAACTAGTGATATTTTATACATAAAAGGTAATAAATTATTTTTTCCCTTTTTGAAATATAATACTAGAGAACATGGTCAGTCATGATTGCTTTCTGGCATAATTCTAAATTTTCGATATTTAAATTCTTTTTAAGCTCCCAGTGGCAACAAACTTCTTAGAATTTTGTATGAAGAAAACGATGAGTCTGAGGTGGAAGTTATTCATGTTACATCCCCTATGTTGGAAACAAGAAGGGCAGACTCATTTCGTTATCCTAAAACAGGTACTGTATCCCACTGGCATTTTTACATTCACTCGTTTACTTTCCAAAGAAGAGTCTCCACGGCCATCCGGGTGGCAGTCAACAGTGGTCGTTTAAGCCCTTAGTGAGGACAGGTTGTTGAGTGTCACTGGGTAGATTTTTTAATTACAGGCTGGTCCTTTTAAATTATTTTCAAGGTGGAGAAGTGCACCAAACTGGTCATTTCAAGAAGGGAACAGAAAGGTGTCTTTGCTAGAAAATTAAGATTTTTTAAGGGGTCAATTTCTTAATAAATTGATAGTCCCCCCCCCCATTTTGCTGTTTATAGCATTTCAAAATGATACAAAATATCCCTTTATTTCATACTAACTTGATGTTTTTCAGCCTCTTTTTAAATTATTTATTTTTAGTTTTCTTCTTATTTTTTTTGTATTGATTTTTTAGAGAGAGTGAGAGAGAAAAGCATTGATTTGTTGTTCTACTTATTTTTGCATTCATTGGTTTATTCTTACATGTGCACTGACCCGGGATCGAACCTGCAATCTTGGTGTATTAGGGTGATGCTTTAACCGACTGAACTACCTGGCCAGGCAGTCTCTTTTTCTATTTTTTTCTTTAATAAAAAGTAAGATTTTGCGATGGAGTTCTGAAATTCTTATGCAGTAAAGCTCTGACTCTGTAGTAGTCTGACTTGAAGTGTAAAGATGATTGATCTGGCAAAATTCAGTAATTTGGATATGCATTTTTATTCATTTATGTCTCTTTCTAAAGGCACAGCAAATCCAAAAGTCACTTTTAAGATGTCAGAAATAATGATCGATTCTGAAGGAAGGGTAAGTATAAAATGTTGAGTTGATTCTTGCGTGTGTCACTTGACTGGTCAGTCTAGTATAGATCTTAGGTACATGATCATTTTGGGGGCTTGTTGGTCATGATTTCAGTTTGACCTTATTTTCCACTTTGAGAACTTCCTGCTGGTTCCCAAAAGAGGAATATGGGGATATGCACATATATGACTCCTTTCCAGTAGTTTCTCTTCTTTGCTTTTTTTAATTCTCCAGATCAGTATTTTTAAAATACTGGTTATTGACTGGTAAATTACCTTCTGTGTTGGATATATGTCTTTGGTATATTAATATTCCACATTTTTGTTGTACTGATGCTTCCCATTTGGACAATCAAATACTTATAAGCTGAATGTACACAGGATTAATTATAGACTTAATTAAGACTTACTAAAACTTTAGTGAGAGCTGATTCATATGCAGTACAGTTTACTCATTTAAAGTTTATAATGGCTTTTAGTATATTCACAGAGTTCTGCAACCATAACCACAGTCAATTTTAGAACATACTCATCCTCCCAAAAAACAAACCCCACTTCCCTTAGTTGTTACGCCCCTAACCTCCCCGACCCTCTGCTCTGGGGAACCGCTGATCTACTTTCAGCCTATAGATTTGCCAGTTCTGGGCATTTCCTATAAATGGAATCATATAGTATGTAGTCTGGTTTATTTCACTTAGCATCATGGTTTTTTTATTTAAAATTTTTATTTATTGATTTTTGGAGAGAGAGACAAATATCAATTTATTGTTCCACATATTTAACATTTATTGGTTGATTCTTGTTTGTGCCCTGACTGGGTGTTATCTGCACAACACTCTGACCAACTGAGCTACCCTGCCCGGGCAGCGTCACATTTTGAAACTCCATCCATGTTGCATCATGTATTAGTACTTCATGATTTTTTATCACCTGGTAGTCTGTTGCGTGGATACAGTACATTTTATTTATCAACTCATCAGTATGGACATTTGTGTTGATTCCACCTTTTGGCTATTATGAATAATGCTATCACTAATGTATGTGTATAAATTTTTATGTGGGCACATGGTTTTATTTCTCTTGGCTAGATCCCTAGGAATAGAATTGTTGGGTCATAAGATAACTCTGTTGTGCCTTTTGAGGAACTACCAAACTGTTTTCCAATGCAGCTGCATTATTTTATATTCCAACCAGTAGTGGATAAGTTCTCCAATTTCTCCACATCCTCATCAACACTTCTTACTGTTCTTAATTTACTGCAGCCATTCTAGTGGGCTTAAAGTTATATCTCATTGGGTGGGTTCTTTTTTTGTTTGTGTTTTTTGAGAGGGAGGGGAAAAGAAAAGGAAGGAGAGAGAGGAAAAAAACACCAGTGTTTCTCTCACATTGACTGGTTGCCTATCACACACCCCAAAGGGGGACTTGGCCCACAGCCCAGGCGTGCGCCCTTATTGTAAATCAACCAGCAACCTTTTGGTTCACAGGCCGGCACTCAATCCACTGAGCCGCCCAGCCACGGCTACTTGTGGTTTTGATTTACATTTTCTTGGTGGCTGAATGATACTATGCATCTTTTCATCTGCTTATTGGCCATTGGTATATCTTCTTTGGAGAACTGTCTCATCAGATCTTTGCCCATTAATAAAAATAAAAATAAACTTTTAAAAATTGCATTGGCTACCTGGCTGGTCTAGCTCAGTGGATTGAGCGTGGGCTGTGAACCAAAGGGTTGCCAGTTTGATTCCCAGTCAGGGCACATACCTGGGTTGCGGGCCAGGTCCCTAGTCGGGGTCCACAAAGGTAACCACACACCAATGTTTCTCTCCCTCTCTTTCTCCCTTCCCCTCTCAAAATAAATAAAGAAAATCTTTTAAAAATTTTGCATTGGCTAGACTTCTAAGGGAGAAAAGCTTGCTAGCCCAGGACTATTTCACTAATATATTATAAAAATAATATTTTAGGCTAAAATATTAATTTTAGGCTAAAACCTAGGAAACTAGGTTTGGGTTTCAGCTGCCAGGAGGCCACAAGGTGCTCCAAACCCACCTCCAAACACATCTGCAAGTCAAAATGTCATACTGGTCCATCCGAGCTAAGCCCTCCAACTCCAGTAAGCCTGAGTTTTCTTCAGCATGGATATCAGAGGCAAGCGAGTTGGTCCAGTTGTTTTAGAATTGTTTGCAGATATTGTACCAAAACTGAAGAAGATTCTTGTGCATTGTGTACTGGAGAAAAAGGCATGGGACCCACCCCTAGGAAACCATTTCAAAGGATGCCCATTCCATAGAATTATTAAGAAATATATGAGTCAGGGTGGAGACTTCTCAAATCAGAATGGGACAAGTGAACAAAATATTTATGGTGAAAAGTTCAAAGATGAAAATTTCTTTTGTAACCATGACCAGGACGGTTTATTGGGCATGGCAGATGCAGACTGCAATACAAATGATTCTCAGTTCTTTATCATAACAGTTCCAGCTACTCATTTGGATGGGGAAAATGTGCTATTTGACCAAATAATTAAAGGAATGGGCATAGCAAGAATTCTGGAAATGTAGATGTGAAAGGTGAAAAACCTGCCAAATTGTGCATTATTGCAGAACATGGAGTATTGAAGGAGGGGGATAATTGGGGAATTTTTCCAAAAGATGGTTCTGGTGACAGTCACCCAGATTTCCAAGGATGTAGATACAGATTTAAAAGGTATAGAAAAGCCCTGGCTTGTGTGGTGCTGGCCTGAGAACGGGTCACTGGTTCCATTCCTAGTCAGGGCATGTGCTTGGGTTGTTGGCCAGGTTTGGCCCCCAGTAGAGAGCGCATGAGAGACAACCACACATTGATGTTTCTCTCCCTCTCTCTTTCCCTTCCCCTCTCTATGTATGTATGTATGTATGTATGTATGTATGAATAAATAAATAAATAAATGGGCGGATGAATAAATGTAATATGTAAATTATATATATTATTTATAATATAAAATACTATAAATAACAGGAGACTTAAAAAACATTGAAAATACTTTTTTTCAAATCCCAGAACTGGGAGATGGCCATTAAAAAATATACAGATGGGCCCTGGCTGGTGTAGCTCAGTGAATTGAGTGCGGCCTGTGAACCACACGATCACGGTTCGATTCCTAGTCAGGGCACATGCCTGGGTTGCAGGCCAGTGCCCAGCAGGGGACTCACAAGAGGCAACCACACATTAATGTTTCCCTCCCTCTCTCCTTCCCTTCCCCCTAAAGATAAATAAACAAAAATCTTTAAAAATATATATATGTACAGGTGGTAGAGTGGTGAGGACAAAATGCAGACAACTGTAATTGAACAACAATAAAGTAGTTTTTAAAAAAGAAAAAATATATGTAGCAGAGGTTTTAAGATATGTGGAAGGTTCAAAGGCTGTTATTGAAAAGGCAGATAGATTGAGGCTGCAACCTGTAGCTTTAAGCTGCTTGCCGAGTATTGGCCCTTGTAAACTGAACATGTCAAATTCACAGGGAGCAATCGGCAGTTTTTACTGGAGGCTCTTGAAATAGACCCATCGAATACCAAAGTACTGTACCGTAGAGCTCAGGGATCACAAGGACTACAGAATATGGCCAAACATTGGCTGGTACTAAGAAAGCTCAGGAGGTGGCGCAGGGAGAGAAAGCCGTCCAGGCACACCTGCTGAGAGTCGAACAGCAGATAAGGGCACAGAACGATGAAGAGCAGGCAGTATATGTGAAAATGTTTGCTGAATAAGAAATTCAGTTATGTTTAAACATTACACAGTGATGTATTAAGGCAATAAGAAAATTTAAGGGGTTTTGTCTATTATATATGATTCCTAATGTGTTTCCTTTGATATTTCAGTTCCCCATTGTTTGCAGTTTAGGAATATTGATTTTGGTTCACTCTTAATAAAATGTTACAAAGTAAAAAATTAAAGTAAAATATAGGGAACTAGGAACTATTTTCATAGATTCTAGAGTCTAAACGGATTAGAACTTTTTTAAACCAGTTATTATCAAGGGTTCTGTTAATATAAACTCATGGGAAAACACTTAGACTGTGCTAATTTTTTTTAATTTATTATTTTTTAATTTAATTTTTTATCTTCACTAGACGACATTTTTCATTGCCTTGAGAAAGAGAGAAAGAAACATTGACTGGTTGCCTTTTCATTCACGCCCAGTCTGGGGATGGAACCCGTAACCTGGATATGTGCCCTGACCAGGAATTGAACCTGTGACCTTTTGGTCTATGGGACACTGCTCTAACCAACTGAGCCACACTGGCCAGGGCTAATTTTATTTTTTAATTACAGTTTACATTCAGTATTATTTTGTATTAGTTTCAGGTGTATAGCATAGTGGTTAGCCAGTCATACTTTACAATGTGGTTCCCCTGATATTTCAAGTACCTATCTGGCACTGTATATAGTTATTACAATATCATTGACTATATTTCCTGTGCTACACTTTACATCCCTGTGACTGCTTTGTAACTGCCAATCTGTACTCTTAATTCCTTCACGCTTTTCACCAGCTCCCCAGCCATCCCCCCTCCCCTCTAAGAATTGTCATAGACTGTGCTAATTCTTGTGTTAGAACTTTTTTTAGTCATGAAGAGCACCTGCATAGGTAACCCACAATTTCTGGTTGTGCTATTCCCTGAGTGCCTTTTTAAATGCCTAAGTCTGAAAAAGTATCACACTAATAAAGATAATGATTTAAGTAGACTAGTAAGCTAATTATTTATCTGAGTCTTTTATAACTATATTTTTTTCTTTTTTTAATAGATTATAGATGTCATAGATAAGGAACTAATTCAGCCTTTTGAGATTCTCTTCGAAGGTGTTGAATATATTGCCAGAGCTGGCTGGACTCCAGAGGGAAAATAGTACGTATGTTAAATTGTCACTTCTTTACAAATAATTTAGGATCCAGAACTTTAGAAATGTCTGTGCTATTAGGTTTGCCTTTCATTTGGAGCTGCCTTCACATGTAAATCTGCAGTGTAATTATTTATATACAAAGAATTTTTTAAAACTAGACAGACTTTTGGGTGTGTAATTCTATAAGCATAAGCACAAGCATTGGATCCTAAAAGCAATCCAGTGCATTACATTTTCGTTGACTTTTACTCAGCCAGTCATGGTTCCCATTATTTGGTTAAAAACAGTGTGACTTCAAGGCTCACGTGGTTGTATTTTTTCATTGTATAATCTAAGCAAAAATATTTGCGGAGCCTTGTGTGGACACGATTACATACAGTTCTGTGTCTAGCGGAGACCTTGGGAGTTCCACAAGGCTAGCATTCGGTGACACTACAGGGAGAAAATTTCAAAGGCCATTTGTGATTTTGGGAATTTGAAGAAAAGCACTTTAAAACCTGTATTCAAGCTTGACTTTTAAAAATAAATGTAGAATAAGTTAGAACTTTTAATTAGCCATTTGTAAGGGGTGATTTAACATATACTAAAGCAATTTTTTCATTATAGGTATAGAAATAACTGATGGGTGCTAGGGGAATATTCATTTTCTGAGAGCTTTCTTTATTTTTGGTGCTTTTATTTTTTTACATAGTGCTTGGTCCATCCTGCTAGATCGCTCCCAAACTCGCCTACAGATAGTGTTGATCTCACCCGAATTATTTATCCCAGTAGAAGATGATGCCATGGAAAGACAGAGGCTCATCGAGTCAGTGCCTGACTCTGTGACACCACTGATCATCTATGAAGAAACAACAGACATTTGGATAAATGTATGCCTGTCCTCCTGCTCTTGGTGAAATGTTTACTTCAGGGTGCTAAAGCAAATGAGGCTTTACAGCAGACTGTCAGAATGAAGTTTTAAGTTCAAAGTAACCATGAATATTATTTGCTAAGTTCTAACGTTTCAAATTGGCATGATGGTTCTATTTAGAATAATGAAAGGGCGTGGGTAGAAAGCAGATGCCGTCAAAACGACATCTCTGTGGCTGCAGGTTCACCCGTTGTCCTAGACACATCAAGTACTGAAAACACAGCCTTATCAGTACCTCTTAGAGGTCCATAGGAGTCCTGTCTAGAAAAAGAGTTTGTTCTTTTGTTTGCAAACTACATTAAAATATAACACTTTGGGGTTGAATTTTGCATTTTCCAATGTAGTAGGAAAAACTTAAGATACAAAATAAATAAAGCCAGCTCACTCCCTTGCTGGCTTTATAAGATTCAATCTTACAAGCTTTATAAGATTCACCTAAAACATCTATTTACCCTTCAACTGTTAGATTATTTCCCTTTGGAAAAAAATGTAAAAAAAATTTTTCCTCATCATTTCTGTAGTAATATTTATATCCTTAAGTAAGCTTCATGCCATGTTTTAAAGGATTACAGAAATGGTGAGTAAGAAAAAGCTTTTGGCATTTTCTTCTCCATTTGGGAGAACATTCACTGCTCAATGGATAAAGTCTTTGACTGAAGTAAGATAAATCTGAAAGGCCCAGGCAAAATCTATAATTGTAAATATATAATAGCACCAATAGTTATTTATACTGCACAGTATGTTTATCAGGTCTTTCTCTGGCTTAATTGAATTATTTATGTAGTATTTCATTAATGTGTGTAGTAAACTGAGCTATTCATTTTACAGATCCATGATATCTTTCATGTTTTTCCCCAAAGTCATGAAGATGAGATTGAATTTATTTTTGCCTCTGAATGCAAAACAGGTTTCCGTCATTTATATAAAATTACATCCATTTTAAAGGAGAGCAAATATAAACGATCCAGTGGTGGACTGCCTGCCCCAAGTAAGAAAAAGTTTTTATTTAAAAAAGAAAAAATGTTGAGGGGAGAAGGTGGGAGGTTCAGGGTAACATATTGTCTCTCTATGTACTTCATAAGCAGCAGTACTGCTTCACTAAACCCAATAGAAACTAAAATATAAATACGTACATATGTAAAAACGCAGAAGACAGACATTTTGCTTTATTTTTACAAGTGTGTTCATTTTAATATTTGCAAACCCTAACTGGAAAATTGCATTCCAGGGGTTGAATTGGCATCCTCTCTACCATCTTGACTGTGGCCCATAGGACAAAGTTCTTGGTAGATACATACTAAACGATTAGTAGTAGATAATCTCTGGGTACTGGGATTACTTATTTTTACTTCCTACTTTTGTCTTAACTATAATTTTTAATTTGCTTAAAGTGAGCCCATGTCATTTTTAGATTTAAAAAGATATTTTTTAAATACATAGTTATTAGGTATTTTTACATATTAGACTTTTTATACTGTTTCATCTACACTGAAGTTTATTTATAGTTACAGCACTTCAAATTGGTATAATTATGTTGCCTGAAGTGAAATTAAATATTGTGTCAGCTGAAGTTAACCATCACTCGGTCTTTAAAAAGAGTGATGGTTTTCGTTCTGGGAAATGTAATACAGAGTAGATGTGTAAGCCTAGGAAAAATGAAATGGTGCATTGAATCCTGTGTTTTTAAAAAATCGAGTTACAGTTTTCTACTTTAATAATAGTTTGTTTTGGGATGGTGAGCACTTTATGATGTTATGTTATATGCTTAACTATTACTTGTAACTTAACAGACTGAACATAGCCATTTAGGGAAAAATTGTGGTAAAATATGCATAACAGAATCTCCTCTTTTCCACTGACTGGTGTCTCTCAGTAGTTGGACATCATACCACAAAGCGAAAGACCTCGGCTGCTTCAGTTCCTGGTCAGGGCACATACCTGGGTTGTAGGTTCAGTCCCCTTTTGGGGGTGTGTGCAAGAGGCAACCAATTGATGTTTTTCCCCCTCCCTTCCTATGTCTCTAAAAATAACTAAAATATTTTTTAAATTTACTATTTTAATCTATTTTAAGTGTACAGTTTCATGGCATTAAGGTATTAATATCTTTATGCAGCTTTCACCACTATCTCTAGAACTTTTTTCATCTTCCAAAACTGAAACCACCCAATAAATACACAATTTAGTAAAAAATAACTTCTCATGCCTTCCTTCCCCTCAGCCCCTGACAACCACTTTCTGTATCTGTGAATTTGACTATTCTAGATACCTCATTCAAGTGGAATCATACAGTATTTATCCTTTTATGATTGGCTTATTTTACTCAGTATAATGTTCTCAAGGTTCATCCATGTAGCACATGTCTGAAAGTCTTTTCAAGGCTTAATAATATGCCATTGTGTGTATATACCACATTTTTCTTATCCAGTCGTCTGTCCATGGACACTTGGGTTGCTTCCTCCTTTTGGCTGCTGTGAATGCTGCTGCTGTGAGCATGTGTGTGCACACGTCTGTTTGAGGCCCTGCTTTCCATTCTTTTGGGTACATACCCAGAGGGGAAATTGCTGGATCTTACGGTAATTGTATTTTTAGATTTTTGAGGAACCATCATATTCCTTTCCATAGCGGCTGCACCATTTTCTATTCCTATTAGCAGTGAACAAGTGTTCCAATTTCTCCACATGCTTGCCAACACTTGTTATTTCCTGATTTTTTTTGTTTTTTTTCTTTAATAGCTGCCATAATGGATATGAAGTAGTATGTCATTATGGTTTTGGCTTGCATTTAGCTAATGACTAGTGACGTTGCATCATTTTATGTGCTTATGGGCCATTTGAGTATCTTCTTTGGAGAAGTGTGGGTTGTTTGTTTTTTCAGTATGGTCTTTTTTTAAAAAGGACAAAGAAATTTTTTAAGGTTTTGTTTGTGTGTGTTTGTTTATTTATTTATTTTTAGAGAGGGGGGAGAGAAACATCAATTACCCACCTCTTGCTCACACGAGGCCCCTGCAACCCAGGCATGTGCCCTGACTAGGAATTGAATCAGCAGCCTTTTAGTGTGCAGGTCGGTGCTCAATCCACTGAGCCACACCAGCCAGCACTCAGCATGACCTTTTAAATATTGCTATTTGGGAAACAGCTATATCTAGGACTATTGTAGTAAATCCTACCTACGACTCCGTCCCTTTCCTTAGCCTAATTATTTTAAAAACAGTCAAGATCTTATATATCTAAGATGTAGAGGTTCTTCCCTGAGAGCCTTAGTTTAACGTGGCCCTTAGTGTGAAATTGTGCTGCCAAATCTTCTGTTTTTCAGAAATGAACTCCATTTATGGAGTTCTAGATAGTGTAGCAATAAAGACGGGTCGGACAGAGAGCTGTGCATGGTAGTTACTTAGCTAAAATACTTACAGGACGACAATAAAAAGATGATCATTTAAAAGAAGAGCTGTTACTCAGTTAATATTCATCTTAGAACACCTAGCCACTGTTCCCTCTGTTTCCGGGCCCTTGTGTTTGTCTACCTCTTTCTTCTGGTTCCCTCCTTCTTTCTTAGTCTGTCTTGCTCCAAGTCTTTCTTCTTTTCTTTAATGTCCACTTTATTTTTCTCCTCCTTTCTCTTTTCTTCCTCAAGTGGCTATAATATGAAAACAATACTTGTTTTATCTATGTGTATATAAAATAATATTTGTTTTCTGGCCATCAAGTGTAAAGTACTAGGTTGAATTTTTGTGTCTAACTTGAGTGGTACTAGCTAAGACCCGGTACCTTCTCATCATCTTGACCTTCCCTCATCCGTCACTTCCGCAGCCAGAGTTAGCAGTAGCTGGGCAGTGAGAAATAGTTTCTATTTCTTAACCTCCTCCTCACACCACTGAGACAGCTTCGTCTACCAGGACGGAATTTCGTAAAGGCTAGTGGAGCATGTTGGCATTAAAATGGTAATACCCAATTTGTTTTTGGCAAATGATGAACAATTTCATTAAAATTTTCCTCCTGTGGCTTTTAAAGTAGTTTGCTGCATTTCTAGAAAAAATGCCTTGTTGGCCCATTAGATTGTGTTTGTCTAACCAAAGGTCTTCGAATGTAGGTACTTTCGAGTTCTTTTCTGGCTTTCCCATGAGAATCTATTTTGGTGTTTTCACTCTCTTTACATGGATCATTCCATGGTTACTCCAGAGTATTGTGAAGACTCATAATTTGGAGTCTTTTTTTAACTGTAGGTCTTTTTTTAAAAAATTAAGGTGAAATTCTCATAACATTAAATAAACCATTTTAAAATTAACAGCTGCATTTACCGTATTCACAGTGTTGTGCAACCACCGCCTCTAACTAGTTCCAAACATTTTCTTTTTATTTTTTAATTATTGGCTTCAGAGGGGTTGGAGAGAAAGAGAGAACAACATCGATTAGTCATTCCCCCCCATTGGGGCATTCACCAGGTAACCCCTGTGTGTGTCCTGGCCCAGGACTGGGCGCGCAACCTTGGAGCATTAGTATGACACTCCGACCAATCGAGCTACCTGGCCAGGGCTGGGTTCAAAACATCTTCATTAGCCCTGGCTGGTGTGGCTCTGTGGATTGAGCGCAGGCCTGCGAACCAAAGGGTCTCGTTTCAATTCCCAGTCGGGGCACGTGCCTGGGTTGCAGGCCAGTTCCCAATGGGGGACCATGAGGGGCAGCCACACATTGATGTTTCTCTTCTGTCCTTCCCTTCCCCTCTAAAGATGAATAAAAAAATTGACATTTAAAAGAAAAAAAAACATCTTCATTACCCCAGACATGACTCGATATTTTAAATGCACCTTTTTGGACAAAAAGTTCAGAATACTATTCTTTATTGTTTCATTTGCTTATAGTCTAGTATGAAGTGCTGAATTACAACTATATTTATCTTTAGGTGATTTCAAGTGTCCTATAAAAGAAGAAATAGCAGTTACCAGCGGTGAATGGGAAGTTCTTGGCCGGCATGGATCTAATGTATGTCCCTTTATTCTGCTGATGTTTGGTGAATGTCTGCTACTGAAAATCAGTAGTGCAACTCTGTATGACTCCAGTGTTTTTGAAAAATTAAGTTCAGGCCTAAAAGAACTCAAGTTGTTGGAAAAAAAGAATCTTAAATTACAATTCTCACTCATTTTATAGCCCTGGTATTAGATGTGTACAGATTATTACAGATCACCATTTTCAAATATACTATTGCTGTGTAATAAGGGAAGGAAAAGTCTAGCAAAAATGGTAAATTAAGATATAGTGTGGAAATTACTTTTAAATCTCTTACAAACTACTTGTGTCATTTCCACATTAGAAATTACATTACTACTTTTGAGGTCGTGATTCCCTTTCATTCACCTATTTATCTTACCTCACAAATTGAGTTTCATCTGCCATCTGCAAAGAGTGATGCTATACAGACAGCATAGATCGATAGGGAAAAGGAGGGAAGTCCACCCTCCGTTTCACTCTTAGCATATAGCTTTCTGTGGTTATTACATGAATTGCAATTTTTCTCTTTTGCCTTTCATAGTACTTTCTGTTTGTTTTTTTGCCTTTCCTAGTACTTTCTGTTTGTTTCAGCCTTCAGTTAGGTGTCAGTTTCATGAGCTCTCTAAGAACTCCATCCTTTGTATGTGTGATACATACAGTTAAGTTGATATATGATACCAGGTTTTAGTGAAGGCCTGTGATTTCCTCAAATACATTTGGAGGAAATATACTGGTTACTAAGAATCGTATATGCTGGTTACTAAGAAAAGTCTCTCATAGTCCCTAAGGTGACTAAGGAGGGAGAATGAAGATCCAGGTCTCAGGTTTGTTTTTGTTGGTAAAAACTGTAGAATATCATAGGCAACCTTTAAGGTTAACTTTCACTCAGAATCTCCCATGGCCCTCTGGTTATATATCCTTTTTTTTTTCCTTTTTTTCTTTTTTCTGTTTAGGAACCTTGGATGGTATTGTCAACTGAGAAAAAAATTTTTGTGGAATTCTAAGTTTTATTAACAAAAAAAATTACACTAATGTAAACTTAATGCAGTATAATGATTGGGTAATACCTAAGGACCCCCCAAATTATATTTACATTGACCTGAACTTTATTTGGTCAACTTAAATGTCTTTCTACTACTTACCATAATGCGCATCAAGTTTCTTCTTTGTTTACGTCATGGTTATTTATGTGACTTGTTTGTCTCTCTTTTCTATTTTTGCTTTATATTTTTAAAAGATTTTATTTATTTTTAGAGAGAAGGTAAGAGAGAGGGAGAGAAACGTCATTGTGTGAATGCCTCTCACCTACCCCTTACTGGGGACCTGGCCCACAACCCAGGCATGTGCTCTGATTGGGGATGGAACTGGCGACCCTTTGGTTCACAGGCTGATTGGTACTCAATCCATTGAGCTACACCAGCCAGGGCTGCTTTTTTTTTTTTAGGTTCCCTTTTTCTCTCTGCTTTTGCCGGTGTCCTTGATCCCACCCAAAGATTTTTAATGGCTATAACTGAGTAAGAATTTGAGACTGGTAAGCCTGCGTGCCCCATAACTGTTCGCAGTGGTTCTCAAAGTGTGGTCCTTGGACCAGGAGCAGCACATCAGCTTCACCTGGGAGCTTTTTAGAAATGCAAATTCCTGGGCCCACCCCAGACCTCCTAAACCAGAATCTCTGGTAGTGGGACTCAGCAAGCTGTTTAACAACACCTCTGGTGATTGTAAATGCTTCTGTTGAATACAGTGAGAGGGTGAGGAATTAACCAGTTATTTTTTCAATTTTGAAAGGCCTCCCAACTGCTAGGACAAGAGTAGAACCAGTCACAACTTTTGGCACAGATTAACACATACCTTTGAAGCTTTGTGAATATTTGTTCTTTCATTTCCTATCACTTGTATCCTTTCTGTATATCTCAGTTGTGTTTATTGAAGAAGCTTCCTGGAGAAAATGTGACATTTAAAAATACTTGCTTTTAGAAATACATCTGTGTTTTCTTTAGTTTGTAAAAAAAATTTTTTTTTGAATTTTATTAAACTTGTTTGAGTAGGCTGGTAAAAGATTTTTAAACGATCTCTGGCTGGTGTGGCTCTGTGGTTGAGTGCTGGTCTGCGAATCACAAGGTTGTCAGTTCAATTCCCAGTCTAGGGCACATACCCGGGATGTGGGTCAGGTCCCCAGCAGGGGGTGTGCAGGAGCCAACCACACATTGATGTTTCTCTCCCTCTGTTTCTTCCTCCCTGCCCATCTTAAAAAATAAATAAATCTCTTAAGATTTTTCTTTAAAAAAAGAAGTAGTAGAAGGCATTTATTTAGAATCTTGTGATTTGGGGAAAATATTAAGTGAATTCATCTATGAATTTACTGCAACTTTTTTTGAGTTCTGAATGAAGACTTAAAGGATGTTATCAATACTTGTTTATAAACTATAACAGTATTGAAACTGTGATTGAGTTTAACTATCCACCCCAACAGATAAAACATTTTTACAAATTTGTACAAAACACCAAAAAGTACTAAGACCAAAAGTATTGCACTAACTGAGAAATATAGAGGATGCTAAAGTTAGACTGTTAAGTGTGCCTGAATGGTTGACCTAAGCTGAAATATGGCTATTTAAGAAAAGCACACATTCTGACCATTTGGGAAACTCTACTAGTAGTGTGCAACTCTTTTTTCTTCTAGATAAATTCTATTCTTAGCTGTAAGTCATAAATAAAACTGACAAGTGTACTAACATTTGCGGAATTTTTTTAAAGGTTTTTAGAGAGGGGAAGGGGGAGAAAGAGAGGGAGAGAAACATCAATGTGTGGTTGCCTCTCATGTGTCCTGACTGGGAATCCGACCTGGGAATGTGACCCTTTGGTTCACAGCCCAAGCTCAGTCCACTGAGCTGTACCAGCGAGGGCTGGAAAAATTTTTTTAAAGAGGTACAAATCAAAGGGTGGCTCAAATGATTCTGAACAAAATTGGGGATTGTTGGTTGAGTTACTGAACTTGCCAAGGCTTACTTGCACTGATTTTTATCTTGTCCTTTTGGCAGATCCAGGTTGATGAAGTCAGAAAACTGGTATATTTTGAAGGCACCAAAGATTCTCCTTTAGAACATCACCTATATGTGGTCAGTTATGTAAATCCTGGAGAAGTGACAAGGCTAACCGACCGTGGCTATTCCCACTCTTGCTGCATCAGCCAGGTATTAAGTCCCTGTTTGAAAAGGCTTTTCTGTCATATGAAAAAACCTTTACTTGTGTAATACTCCTTTGCAGTAATATGAAAATTGGCAAAATTGGCCTGCGGAAGTTTGATTCTTTTAGGAAACTTTGAAAAGTGTAGCCTTAACTTCAGCATTGTATATGTACATAAATGGCCAGACTCATACTCCTTCTATAGCATCAGTGCAAATGTAGTAGCAGGTAACCCTTGTTAGTTTTCCTGGGAAAAAAGTAACTGTTTCTCCTTTCTTTAGCATTGTGACTTCTTTATAAGTAAGTATAGTAACCAGAAGAATCCACACTCTGTGACCCTTTATAAGCTATCAAGTCCTGAAGATGACCCAACTTGCAAAACAAAGGAATTTTGGGCCACCATTTTGGACTCAGCAGGTACTTGTTTCTCTAAACCTGATCTTAGGTAAGATTAGTACGTTAGTGCTCTAAAGCCTGTGTGTGTCCACATTTCCTGGGCAGAGTCTTCCTGTCTCTGCCCAATGTGTCTTCGCCACTGCCTGTTCCTGAGCTGCTAGTTTCTGATTGATCCCACCCCTCCTAGTCTGTCAACGACCGAGTAATATGGGTGTTGTTTATATTTTTATTTCTATTCTTTATGTTAGGACCCTCAGCCAGGCTGGCTACCCCTTTTTAATTGATTGGTTCAGAGGCAAGGGGAGGGAGAAAGAGAAGGAGAGAAACATTGATCAGTTGCCTCTTTATGCGCCCTGACTGAGGACCAAACCCAAAACCTAGGCCTGTGCCCTGACCAGGAATCGAACCAGTGACCGTTTGTTTTGTGGGATGCCACCCAACCAGTTGAGCCACAGCAGCTAGGGCTGGAAGGCCTTTTTGAAAGAAGGATTAAAATAGTCAGTATATCAGTCAGAAAACCATTTATTCACATGTTGGGATGATTTCCCAGATAAACAAGTGACCTTGAGGATAGTGTACCCTGAACTAGTCATACTCATTGAGCAATGAAGCTGCATCTTTAGGGAATAACTAGCTGGCAGCTTCCTTAAACTTTTAAAACACTTACAGTGGCCATCTTTATGAAAGATAAAACACTTGTTCTGTATGGGAGTGAAGAACACTGTGAATTATTTATTTTTAAAATGCTTGATTTCCTTTTTTCTTTTGAGGTATTTATTTATTTATTTATTTATTTATTTATTTATTTATTTTATTTTATTTTTTTAAAGAGTTATTTATTTATCTTTAGAGGGGAAGGGAGAGAGAGAAATATCAATGTATGGTTGCCTCTAGTGCATCCCCCGCTGGGAACTGGCCTGCAGGGAACCTGCCTGCAACCCAGGCATGTGCCCTGACTGGGAATCGAACCTCAATCCTCTGGTTCACAGGCCCATGCTCAATCCACTGAGCTACACCAGCCAGGGCTATTTATTTATTTTTTTTTAGATAGAGGGAAGAGAGGGAGAGAAACATCAGCGTGTAGTTGCCTCTCATGTGCCCCCTACTGGGGACCTTACCTGGCTCACAACCCAGGCATGTGCTGTGACTGGGAATCAAACCACAACCCTTTAATTTACAGGCCAGCACTCAATCCACTGAGCCACACCAGCCAGGGAAAAATGCTTAATCTCTTAAACATAAAATATCGACTGATTTTATGTATCTTTTAATCTACTGTATCCCCAGTTTTTTTCCTGTTGGGTATTTCATGCATTAGTATTTGCAAGGGATTAAGAATTAGTATAAATTGTTCTAACGGGAACAAGTAGAATTTGTAATGTGGTGATGGTTTCTGCTTAAACAGTAACCTCATCCAGTATACACAGACTTAGGATAGGTCTGTATAGCTTTGGTAAACCAAAGACTGTTCATGACTCCATTTTTATACGTGTGTGTGTGTGTGTGTGTGTGTGTGTGTGTGTGTGTGTGTGTGTGTGTATTTTAATCTTCACCTAAGGATAAATTTATAGGTTTTAGAGAGAGGGGGAAGCGGGGAGAGAGGAGAAAAGGGAGAGAAACGTCAGCACTCCATACAGCTGAGCCACCTGGCTAGGGCGATGACTTTCTTTTTTTCTGGCCTCTGGTTAAACTTATTCATTAATAATCAGAAACAGATTTTATTGAGCACCTGCCTTGAGTAGCTTAAATTGACTAAGTTAAATTTGTGCTCCCAGTTTTAATCAATAAGTTAAACTGAACCAAACACAAAGTATTTGTACAGTACTGCACATAGGCACCAAGGATTATTCAGAATCTGTGTTTATTTCTGAGATAGATAATGTGTTCATTAGGCTTTCTTTTTAAAATACAAATGTTGTTGCTTAATTTTTTGCCTGTCACTTGAAGGAAAGATGGTCAGGTATTTGTGTGTGAGATCAAGGTTGTAGATTTACCTTTTCCTTGCTCAGGTTGTAGAGCTCCCAATAACAGCTCTTCTTACACACTCTGAATGTTATTTCCTTGCAGGTCCTCTTCCTGACTATACCCCTCCAGAAATTTTCTCCTTTGAAAGTACTACTGGATTTACATTGTATGGGATGCTTTACAAACCTCATGATCTACAACCTGGAAAGAAATACCCCACTGTGCTGTTCATATATGGTGGTCCCCAGGTGGGTACATTTTATTACGTATATATACACACACATTCATATATGTATATGTAATTTTTTAGGTTATTTATTTTTTTAATGTCTAGTCAGTTTTTAAGTTAAGATTTGAGCATGGTTGAGCCTCTGCTGTTATTGACTCTGGCTTGTGTTCTGATTGTCCAGTTCAGGAAGCTGGGTTTGTCAGATATCTAATTTGTAAATCATTGTCAGTTTCTTAGTTTACATCAAGGACTGTAACTGTCATGGGGAAGGGATGTGTCTGTAGATAAACATGTTTTCTATCTACAGAAATTTGGGAAATGAAATTAAGTAATTAAATTTCTTAGTAAATAAAAAGGATCTGAATAGCTATTTTTAGAAAGCTGTGGTAGCTTGATGAATTCTGTCCTCTTCATTTTAAGGCTGTATCTCTTAAACTAGAATACTTTTATTACCTAGTTAAAGCAACTCTTATACTACTATTTAGCACTGCAAGAAATTTAACGTTGGTTTTCTTCTTCCTTTATTAAAATAATAGCATGCGAGTATTAAGCAAATTCTATTGTCTATCAGAGTAAAGTATTTGGAGTAGGTGAGTTTGTTAATTGGAAATTTTTTTAAATGTTTATTATTAATTATATATCTTACATTGAGCCATTGAAGAAACTAGAATATAATTGCACTGTTTTTACACTGTTAACTCTTGGGCTCAGTAAAAATTCTTTTTAGTTATATCCTGTTATTTAGTATCTGAAAATATATCTAGATTCTAAACCATCCAAAAAAATGAAAGTAAAATAACTACATGAGCCATAAAATCGCAGCAGTGAGCAATTCAATATATTAAGTTAAATCACTTTACCATCAGTAAGTACGTTTTACAAACATGATTTGTATTATAGTTATCTACACATAAAAATCATGAAGAAATTAAATTAGACTTCCATTAAAAACTTGAGGCCAAATCTTTGTTACCTTAAAAAAAAACCTAAATACAAAGAAATTCAAAAGAAAATTACAGAACACTCTCAGAAGCTTTATATGTTTTGTTATATTATTTTGATATTAAGGCTAAGTAAGAAGGGTGTTTTTCCTTTCCACTGAAAAAATGATATATGAAGTGTGTGAAAAACATGCTATAAATCTGGTTATCTAGGTTTTAAGACTAAGAGACACCTTATATTAGTAATTAAGTTTAAAAGTCTAAGTCAAATGAAAAGATACGCAACATCACTAGTCATTAGGGAAATGCAAATCAAAACCACAGTGAGATACTACCTCATACTTATTTAGAGAGCTATTTTCAGAAAAAAAGGAGGGGAGAACAAAAGTTGGCAAGGGTGTGGCGAAATTAGAACTCCTCTGTGGAAAACAATATGGCAGTTTTTTTAAAATTAAATAGAACTACAACCTGACCCAGCAGTTCATTTCCGGGTGTGTACCCAAAGCAGAGGCTGAATAGACGCTGGTACTCCAGTGGTCACTGCAGCATTAGTCACAGTGGTCAGAAGGTAGAAGCAAATCAGGTGCCCATTGACAGATGAATGGGTGAACAAAACATGGCATATAATGGAATATTATATAGCCTTAAAAAGGAGGAAATATAATATGGGTGACCTTGAAGACATTGTGCTGAGTGAAATAAGCCAGACAGAAAAGGACAAATACTGCATTATTCCACTTGTGAGAGGTACTTAGAATAATCAAATTCGTAGAAACAGAAAGTAGACTAGGTGTTGCCAGGGGCTGAGGGAGAAATAGGAGATTACTGTTCAGTAGGTATGGAGTTTCTGTTTGGGATGATTAAAAAAATTCTGGAAATGGATAGCAGCGATGATTGTACAACAGTGTGAATGTACTTAATGCCCCTGAACCATACACTTAAAAGGGTTTAAATAATCAATTTTATGTCATGTATGTTTTACCATAATGAAAAATCTTAGTCACTGCAATGAAATCAAAATTGTTTAGTTGTTTAGAATACTTTATGAACATAACTGTATTTATAGAAACAGTTCCTTTTTCAAAGTGTTTTCTGGAAGCATTCAAATTTGGCAAGGCCTTAGGAGAATCTGGCATTCGGTTGACAGGGAGATGTCCCTGGGAGACTTTGCAGGGTAGAGTGCCTCTGGCACTGCCCCCACAGGGAGAGAGCAGAGCATTCATCCTCTGGTTGGATGGCTCCATGTGAGGTGGTTATGAAGAGGCTCCTTGACATGAGACAAGTCTTTCTAATGGCCTTGTGAAGTTTGATGAAATGATATGAGTGTCCCATGTTCTTTCTTGGTGTATATTCAGGTCAAAATGCCACAGTTCATGAGTTGAATTACTTTGTCACTAAATACAACCATGTCTGTAGTCGAACAAAGGTAAAATCTAAAGTAAAGCAAAAAATATTTCCCATTAAGGTCTTCAAGACTTGGTTCTTTACATTTTTCATTGGTAATAGCACCGTGTTTAAAAATGTCTATTTAGCCTTGGCTGGTATAGCTCAGTGGGTTGAGCGCTGCCCTTGAACCAAAGGGTCGCCAGTTCAATTCCCAGTCAGGGCACATGCCTGGGTTGCAGCCAGGTAAGGTCCCCGATAGGGGGCGTACGGGAGGCAGCCATGCATTGGTGTTTCTCTCCCTCTCTTTCTCCTCTTTCCTGCTCTCTAAAAATAAATAAATAAAATCTTTTAAAAAAATGTCTATTTAACAAACACTTATAATGCTTCCTATGTGCTGGACACTTTCTGCAAATGTAAATGCACGAAAGAGCAGACTAGGTGATAGAAGGACACAGGTTTTAAAGAGTTGATTCTGAAGGTACTCGTGAATGCTCAGTGTCAAAGGGCATGATGTTTAAGCACCTCCTTCCAGAAGTACCAGAGGCCTCCAGGCTGCAAAGGCAGAAACACCGGCTCTGGAGGAAATCGTTTTAACCGGGCATTTGGGCCGTCTTTGTATGGCTATAGGCAAAGAAATGAGGTAGTTTTCTTTAGACCCTCATAGTTGTGTTCCATACATAGTGCTTGTTACTTCAGCTCCCTGAGAGAGGGAGAGAAAGAAGAAACAGAAAAGAAAAACCTCTGCCCACCAACCTCTTTTCTCCTGGCAGGAAGGGAAAACATCATTCTTCTATCTCTCCCTCTAAAGAGTTATTAAGTTCCCATTATGCGCCAAGTACTGTTCTCACAAGTCAGACTAATATTCCACCCTTACAGAGCTTAATTCAGAAAATAGTAAGTAGACAAAAAATAAATAAATTCAGAAAATGGAAGTGCCAGGAATAATTGTTCAAAAGGAGGATGGCAAAGTGACTAAGGCGGAAGTTCAGATACAGGAAAGGTCTCTGCAGAGGATGAGCAGGAATAAGCCACATTGAAGATCTGAGGGGAGAGCGTTCCAGACTGAGGGAATAGTAAGCTTCAAGGTCAAGGTCCTTGGGTTAGCATCAATAGTTGATAATACAGTTAGAGGACAGTGTGTAAGGAAGTAAATAATATAAGGTTAGAGAAATAGCCAAAGGTCAGATAATATAGGGTCTCAGAAGACAGTAGTAAGGAGTATAGATCTAAACTCCTTACCAGTGGCAGGAGCTAAGCTACAAAATCATAACTGATTTACATTTTTAAAACATTGCTCTGCTGCCGTGCGAACACTGTAGGTCCTTTAGTATAGGAGGACAAGAATTGAAATAGGAAGACCGGTGATACTAACATGCAAATGTCAAAGAAAGAAGGTTCTCTGCCCCTTTCCCCAAATCCAGCCCAATAAATGCCCAGTAGCTATTGAGTAAAAAACAGTATGGGTTCTTACCGATTTATTTATTTATTTATTTATTTATTTATTTATTTATTTATTTATTTAATTGATTTTTTTTTTATAGAGAGAGATAGGAAAACATCAATTTGTTGTTTCACTTATTTATGCACTCATTGGTTGATTCTTGAATGTGCCCTGACCAGGCATCACACCTGCAACCTTAGCGATGCTCTAACCATCTGAGCCACCCAGCCAGGGCCAGTGTTGATTCCTGTTTAACTCCTGGCTGGCTTGGTTCTTCCATTGGTTTCAGTCAGAGAAAACTTCTTTCTCACTTGAGAGAATGTTTATTTTGTTGTTATTTAATATCTATCTTAGTGTTCACTAACCCTTAACTTCTGTAACTTTCTGCCCACTTATTAAAGTCCTCTTTTCACTAGATTGTTTATTTCTGGTGAAACACTAAACTACCATTTAATTTCCCAGTCACTTTGAAGTACAGTTTGTAGGGAGATAAAGGTATTTAAGAATTATTCTACTTTTTGCACTGATTTGCGTAACGGGAGAAAGAAGCTGGACTGGTTGCAGTGCTTTTATTTAAAGCGGTATTTTATTTTATTAAAATACTAAGTTTTCCTGCTACTGGGCAGAGGCAGTCGCAGAAGAGATGGGTAGGGAAGAAAAGCACTCTGGTTATTCTTGTCCATATCATTTGAATGACACAGTTTTTCAAGGCAGAAGTGATCATTCTGCTGACTTTTTCTGTGGGATAGATTAAATCTCTTGTATATAATTAATATGTAGGTTATAGTTTTAAAGTCATTAGTTCAGTAATTGCCCTCAATTAAGTGTGAACTTAAGAAAGAAAAGGGAAATAAATGGGAATGGAAAAAATACAATAAAAAATAAAATTTTAAAAATTTAATAAAGAAAAGAAGCGCCCTCCTACAAAGGGGTGTCAGTGGTTCCCTGCGTTTGGACACGCAAGAACTGGAGGCGGAGAAGTGCGCACTTGGAGAAATCTGGCGTCGGCTTGCTCCCTGTAGGCTCGAAATCAGCCATCCTACGTAGAGTAATAGAGACCATAAACATGAACATGAAAAAGTTTAAGTTAATTTAAAAATAAATTGGAGGTGTGTGGTTACTAATCCGTGGGCATAAAGTCTCAGTTACACAAGATGAGTAAGTTCTAGAAATCTGTACAACGTTGTCCTATGATTAATAATGACATTGTATACTTAAATTTTTGTTAAGAGGGTCGATCTCATGTTGTGTTTTTGCCCACAAGAACAAAGAAATGTCTTTTCAAAGGCAAAAATTCTATTAAAAATGTAAGCTTTCTACTCTTTGCAGTGCCCTGCCTCTCTCATGCTTTTGTGTGCTGCCGTAAAATAAGTTTCACTGAAGTTGTATTTCTTCCTCAGGTGCAGCTGGTGAATAATCGGTTCAAAGGAGTCAAGTATTTCCGTTTGAACACTCTAGCCTCTCTGGGTTATGTGGTTGTAGTGATAGACAACAGGGGATCCTGTCACCGAGGGCTTAAATTTGAAGGCGCCTTTAAATATAAAATGGTGTGTGAACATACAAACATTCTTCTTTTAAAGACACGTTTTCTGGTGCATTGTTTGGGGTGAAATTCCAGAGAGAGAGTCAGGGGAAGGGGCTCTGAGCAAATGAGAGAGAGAATGTGTGTGTGTGTGTGTGTGTGTGTGTGTGTGTGTGTGTGTGTGTGTGTGTTAGAGTTTGAGGGTGGGAGGGAAGATGCAACTTCATGTTCACAAGGCTAGCTCATGTTTACTTACATGTAACTTTGGGGAGCTGAGACAAAACCATTTTTACGTAGAAATAGCCTCTCTTTGCTTTCTGTACATCCAGCTTAGCCGGATGGCAGCACCATTAAGCTTTCGGCATCCTGTACACTATTGAGAGGAATAATTGAGGTTTGTTCTGTCCTCTGTGAAGAGAGAAACCAACTGGTTAGTGCCTTCCTTGTGACAAGCCTCTTTCTCTCTACAGGAAGCTTTAAATGCTACCTTTTAGAGATGCCCCATGTCCTTTCTGCTGCTTTGGGAAATGATGAGAATCCGATGTTCCTTTTGCACAGTAAGGCAGTTACTGTGTTTGCCAGTGTATTGGACATGCTGAGTAAGACATGGGGATTTTCTCCCACAGCCAGTTCTTTGACCTTATGTTGTATTCTCATGTAAGTTTTTTTGTTTTTATTTTTGTTTTCGCTCAGTGAAGTGAGATTGTGTGCACTGGCAGGCCTAGTAATAAAGACAGGGTGGTGGTGGTAGGAATTAATACTTAATAGGACTTTAAAGAAACAGTATGTTTAGTTCCTAGATGTAGACTGTGGGGAAATAGGAAGATAAGGCCTCACGAGTGATTCCTTCTACTACACTGTGTTACATTTTTAAAAGGAGAAATGAAATTAGTCTCCTGCTTAAGGGGGCTAATTTTTCATCTTCAGGTATGGGAAGGCTTGTTACAAGGAAGATGCTGGCTCTTAGCAGACAACAGAACAAATGGAAATGGGGAACAACCCATGTGGCCAGGGGCAGTTTGGGTTGCAACAGGAAAGAACTTGACGACTACTGGATAACTAAACTCTAGGACAGGCTAGCAACAGAAGCTGTAGACTCCTGTCTCTAAATAGAGTTTAAAAAAGTTTTTCGGGCAACAGAATGTCAGTTGATCGTGAATTGTAATCTAAAACCACAGGTATTTTCAGTCACCAACCTTTATTAGCTTTAAAAGCAGTTTTACAATGAGACTTCCGTTCATCAGAGTCGGTGAAATATTTTCCCTTTCTTGACAGGGGCAGATAGAAATCGACGACCAGGTGGAAGGGCTCCAGTATCTAGCCTCCCGGTACGACTTCATCGACTTAGATCGAGTGGGCATCCATGGCTGGTCCTATGGCGGATACCTCTCCCTGATGGCTTTAATCCAGCGATCGGATGTCTTCAGGGTATGTGGCTTCCCTTGTACTTTTGGTCGTAAGGATAGAATTTTCTACACAGTGAGGATATGAGGAAGATGCTGGTTTTTCTAAAGGTTTACAGAGTTGGGAGTATTAAATAGATTTTTTTTTAAACTGCTTGTCAACTTGGTGACCAGTTATTGGTTATTTGTAGACAGATGCCAGAGGTTATGAGGTTTAGTTATGATTAGTAGAAACATACACGCACACACACAGTGGAGTGGAGTTACGTGTTTCACTGTTGGACTGCCAGCTCTGAGGGACCTGTCACTCAGATGCGCTGGATCACTGTCTCCTCAACAGCTAAGCACCATGTTTAACACATAATAGGTCTGAATTAAATCTGTATTAGGTGAACAAATTATTAAATCTACAGATGATAGTTACAGTTCTGTAAACAACTTCTTAGAAAAATGTGCTAGAAGAAAATATATAAAAATGCTAACAGTTGTTAAGGGAGTGGGAATTATGAGTAGTGGTTTTCTTTTTTAAATAGAATGGGGAGAAGTAGGTTTATAGTTGTTCGTATGAAAATAATACAGTAATAAATAATACAAGAATAAACTGTTTTGTGTACTCGCAACTATAAATCTACTTTTGCCCCACCCTGTATTTCAATACTTGATTTTAATTTACACAGTGAAAGATTATTTTTAAGAACAAAAATGATAGGGTTTTTGTCCTTTTGTGTATATTCAGATAACCTTTAATAAAATAACCACAAAAGGAACTCTGAACACTGTCATAATTTGTCCATGCTTATAGCTGTCGGGAATGTAATTGTAACATTTAAATATAAAACTGTGTGTGGGAACCTTAAAATGAGGGAACTGTTTAGTGTTTAAATATGTCTCATTCATTGTTTTAAATCCTGTACTGCCAACAGAAGCTTTTTAAAAAATGACTGCTTTTCCTATGTGTATAAAGCCGACAGACCCTTCTTGCACAATTTTCCCCCAGTAGCAGGCATGAGTTTACACTGAGGCATTCATTCATATGTTCTAGTTCATCTACCCTTTTAACAAACATGTTTGTATTTCAACTAGCCCAGGTTAAGGGTTTGGTGTACAGCATGCCTGTGGAACAAAATGCTAACTGACTCACAAAGTATCAAGTTATTGACCTTGGGACTCCACCTTGATTTTTTGAGTGGCGTGAGACCATGTAGCTCTAGTCCTGGGGCTAAAGCCTAAGGATAATTTGGCTTATGAATTTGCAGTTACAGATTCCTATTGCTAGTAGCCATTCTTTTCTGGGTCACACTTGAGTGTCACTGTTGCCTTGTGCAGGTTGCTATTGCCGGGGCCCCAGTCACCCTGTGGATCTTCTATGACACAGGCTACACGGAGCGTTACATGGGCCACCCTGACCAGAACGAACAGGGCTATTACTTAGGATCTGTGGCCATGCAAGCAGAAAAGTTCCCCTCAGAGTAAGTTCAGGCTTTAAAATTAAGATTATAAATTTAAAATTGTATTTTTGAAAGTTGTCTTTAATAACAATAATGGGAATTACAAATACTGTAGCCAAGACTAATATTGTATAGAATACTAGAATGGCATGGATGTTTCTCAAAGCTGAATTGTAGGACAGTTCATGTATTTATTTTCTACAAATTATATTTGAAGCAATTCACTTGTGCTAAAGGAAGTTTAAATGTACTACTACTTAAGATGGGAGAATTATTTCTGCATTATTTTACAAATAGTGTTCATGATTTTTTTTTTCCTGGGGACATGCTATCATTATTGATGTGTGCTGATATTTTAATAGGAAATTTACACATGATTTTTTAAATTTTTCTAAACTTTCATACATGAAGCATCTGGTTAACATATTACAAATATAACAAAATTTTGAATTCTCTTTCTAACATTACACTGTGAGGAAGTTAACATAGTTCATTGTGATTAGTTTAAAGGAAGTGAGTGGTTTTCCCAAATACCCTGTCTTGCCTGATCCTGTGATGTTTGTTTCTCCAGACCAAATCGCTTACTGCTCTTACACGGATTCTTAGATGAGAATGTCCACTTTGCACACACCAGTATATTACTGAGTTTTTTAGTGAGGGCTGGAAAGCCATATGATTTACAGGTGAGTTTTATACTTTTTCTTTTTTAATATTTTACTCATTTTTAGAGAAGAGGGAAAGGGAGGGTGAAAGACAGGGAGAGAAACATCGATCTGTGGTAGCCTCTTGCGTGCCCCCAACCAAGGACCTGGCCCACAACCCAGGCATGTGCCCTGACTGGAAATCAAACTGGAGACCCTTTGGTTCTCAGGCTGGCACTCAATCCACTGAGCCACACCTGCCAGGGCGGGTTTTCTGCATTTTAAAAATAAATAGTGATTAGTGATTGATTACTTTGAAATACAATGAACTATGAAGTAAGGCTGAATTTTCAGTTGTGGTCATTCTTTGCTTAAGAGAATCAAAGTGATAGGCCTAGGGAGCAGTGCCTCTAGTTGGGTGAAAGTTAAGGTTCTGTTGAAGTTCGGCTGAAACCTGTCTGTTTGATTCCACGACTTGCATGTTGGCGTCTGCTTTCAGTCTGTCATCATGGAAAAGTTGCAGGGGTCCATTTACTGTCCTCTGCGTTTCTTCCTCCCCTGGAAGAGTGACAGAATGTCATTCGATTTCATTGTTGTAAAGAGGATTTTTAGGTCCTGATTACATTGCTCCATTACTCAAATAAAAAGATATTAAGAGAAACTCTTTCTCCTTTCTACTTCTTGCATAAATTATATGCTCATACGAAATGAAAAATGTTACTTTTTCCTTTCTTGTTTCATTGGCATTTCTGTGGGTAAACCGTGCGGTGTTTGTCCACAGCAGCAGCTGTCGGGCATTTCGGCCCCTGTCCAACCAAACAGCTCCTGTCTGTTCGTGTGGGTGGTGGCTGTCATATTGCTCATGTGAGATACTAAAGCTATTAAAATATTTACTTAAAACAGCAATAATAAACAATTACACGTTAACAAAAATCACATTTTTATGGAGAGGGGAGACTATTTTCCAAAACAAAACAGAATTTACTCAGAAAAATAGCACTGCTTTACATTTTTGTGAGTGCCGTTAATGTCTGGCTTTAATAAGGAAGACACCTGGGTTCTCACGGCGACTTCCAGGTGCTGTCTGTTGTGAATTGGGGTTTTCAGCCTCACAGAATACGTATTGAAGAGTTGGGAGGGTTTAGCCGTTTCGGATAATTGTGGATATTCTTCTTTCATACTATAAAACCGGAAATGTTAGTGTCCTGAAGGTTAGTTTTTGTGTGGAATCCGAGCCATACTTGTTAGTTTTTCGTACTATGTTATTACATTATAAACATTTGGACCTTGTATTTCAAATGGACCTTTTATCATGCATTGGTCATCTGGAAAATATTGGTTCACTATGTTATGCCAGTCTTCTAAATGTTGATTCATTTCATTATATAGTGTTTTAAAACTCACATGAAAATTCCACTGATCTCATCAGAAAAGTCTCTTTAAGTTCATATTGGGAAGCTCATGAGCTAGTAGTGGTAAATGCAAGTTTTCCAGCATTTTAATTTTCTCTTAAAAGCTCAAACTTTATCATTGCAAACAAAGACTGCCAGTGTTGTCTTTGAAGTGACCGGCTTGCTTCATTCATTTTTGAGAAAATGTTTGTCAAATACCCATGTCCGAATCACTATTAATCATCAGCCCTTCTTTCAAGTTAGAAATGAAATTCCGTTTAGAAAGTGCCAGCTCAGCTCGCAACTCGGTAGCACAAGTTGTTTTTCTTGAGACAGCCTACGGCAGAAGCGCTTTACGTATTCTCTTCCATTTTGTCACCACAGGGTATTAAAAAGACATCTGCTCAGGAGTTGCAATGTGATCAAATTAAATTCTAAGTTTTACTGAGACTTACGTGAAATTAGCATCTTTCTGTAATTTTGGGGTGGTGAAGAATACTGTGACTTCTACTACAATTTAATGCCACTGCCTTGACGTGTGCTAAGGCACCAGCACTGTTACCACTGCTTTCACATTACCAGTACAAATGCCGGCCCAGGGAATATATAGGCAGATAGTGTTTGAGTTGTTCTGAAAGCAGTCTGACCTAGTGTATCCCTTGAAAGTGTTTCTTTGGACTCTAGAAGTCTGCACATGTCACTTGAAGAACCATTGGTCTACACAAAAATCCTTCTGTAAGCTTAATGGTGTATAAGGAATTATAAAACAAGGAGAGGGCCTACATTTAAGCCTTTAATCCATTTTGAGTTCATTCTTATATGGCACAAGAAGGTGGTCTAGTTCAATTTTTTTGCATGTGTCTGTCTAGTTTTTCCAACACCCCACTTGCAGCGTTATTTACAACAACCAATACATGGGAGCAGCCAAGTGCCATCAGTAGACAAATAGATAAAAAAGCTGTGGTGCGTATACACAGTGAGATATACTTGGCCGTAAAAACGAATGAAATCTTACCACTTGCAACACCGTGGATGGACCTAGAGGACATCATGCTAAGCGAAATAAGTCAGACAGAATATCATATGATTTCACTTACATGTGGAATCCAAAGCGCAAAGTAAACAAGCAAAACAGAAGCGCACTCATAGATACAGAAATCAGACTGATGGTTGCCAGAGGGAACAGGGGTCGTGGGGCTGGTGAGAAAGGTGAAGGGATTGAGACGTGCAAATTGGTGGTCATGAAATAGTCACGGGCATGTAATGTAAGGCGCCAACTGGGTTCTTGAAACTACGAGGGGACCACTTTGTAAAGTATATGATTGTCTAACCAGTATGCTGTACATCTGAAACGAATACAAAATAACATGCCGTTAAAAAATTAATTGAAAAAGAAGAGAGGGGCCTTTAGATAGGATGTATGTGTATAACATCTGAGAGGGTGTGTGCTAGGTTATTAATCCTGTGGGAAATCTCTGGAAAGCTTTTGGAAGATGTATTATTAAATTCTTATTTTTTATATTTTAATTTTTGTTGTTAAGATCTATCCTCAGGAGAGACACAGCATAAGAGTTCCTGAATCTGGAGAACATTATGAACTGCATCTTTTGCACTACCTTCAAGAAAACCTTGGATCACGCATTGCTGCTCTGAAAGTGATATAGTTCTGACCTGTGTAGGACTCTGGTGTGCACTGGCTGTTTGACCAAATGAGGAGGTTTAATCCGTGGAGAGCATAGAACTGATCATCACATTTCGATACATAACATCTACTTCCGGGAGTGTATTTGGTGCCATGCAGACATCAACAGCTTGTGGATAGTAATCTAATACCTTAACCATACACACAGGAAATTGAATGACACATTTCTGAGGGATCCAGCAATACCTTGAGAATTACTGACAGAAGACATTATCACTATGTATCCCTGTTACCTTATTTTCACTTTTAATAGCATTATAAACCTCATGGACTTAATTAGTGTATTTTTACAGTATACTTCTGAGTTTGTTAAAATATGATGATATTAGTGATTGGTTTGGTTCAATTCCAGAATCTCTGACTAGTTACAGATTTGATAGCACTTAAATGTAATTGAATAGCTTATGCTTCATTGCTTGGGGTATATCCGGCATGTTATGGACTAATCACTATTAAACCCATGACTTAACCAGTCATTAATGATTTTTCAAGAAAAACGTAGTGGCCTCCTAAAGACACTTCCATTGTTTCATTCAGGCTCTGGCCGGTCTTTAGCCAGTTTTAACTGTATCTAGGATAAATAGTTCTCTTCGATGATATGACAGAGTGAGTTTTCCTTTCGCATAAAGGCGAGTAACTATATGTAGCATGGATTTAACTAGTCTTATAATACTGATAATTACAGGCAGAAAAATTTTAATCAAACTATTAGAGCTTGAATATTTATAGGCAATTTCTTTTCCTTTAGGAAAAGGGAAAAAGTACACATTCACTTGTATTCTTCAGAAAACAGCGGTGCCAGTTTCCACTGGGTATTTTCTAAATAAAATGTTCCAGGGCTTCAGGGAGACGAGCGGGAATCGCGGTGGGGCAGGGAGATCCGGCTATGGCGGGCGACAGGCAGCGGGAGGCGAGGGCCTGCCTGAGAACCAAGCAGAAGTATAATTTGACCACAAGTACTCATGAAAAGTTTGGAAGGTAAGATTTAAATTCCCAAAATGTTAGGAAACCAGAATTTAAAAATTACTCTCTTGCCAGCACAGTTACAGACTAATGTTATTCAGGAGAGGAAAAGTTCTTAAGAGTTACTTTCATAATTCTAAGTTTAATTTTTTATTTTCTTTTAGTTTTAGAAACATTACAAATTTAAACTGCCTTCATCCTTTTTAAATCATTTGAACATAATTTCGGTATTATGAGCTTAAAGAGATTTCCAGAACAACCTCTTTAGCATAAACTGATCCCAACCTCTCTCTTTCAGTGTTCAAAGCCCATATAAACAAGTTCCTGAATGGCCGTGACAGTTCCTGGGTTAGCTCTAGCACTTGACTGCTGAGGGAGCTCATAGGCTTTCAGGTGCTGATTGGGGTCTGTCCCTTAGAGTCTTGGGTGCTGGGGTGGGTCACATTGGAGCCACAGGCAGAGGATGCACCTATGAATTTGACCCTTTTTATCACAAGCCTCCGTGTTTGGAAAGTTGTTACCAGTACTTTTAAAAAACGCTCCAGGGAAAATAGCTTTTCTTCTCTCTCTGACCACTACACAGAGTAGGTTTCTCCCATAGAGGGCCCAGCCTCAGTTAGTTAAGAACGGCAACTGTGTGGCAGAGGTGGGCTTCCTCACTGAGGGCGGGATGGCAGGTGACCTGGGGTTCTGTTCTCGGAAGGGGGGTGGGTTTTCCGTTTGTAGGTGTGTCCTGTGTAATAGGCACCACACTTTCCCCTTTGGTCTGTGTGTGTATTGATGTTCTCGTTCATGGTACTTTCCCGTGTCAAGATTTGTTTCTATTTTTTCAATGTTAAGTTAAATTGATTTGGGTAACTTTTCTTCCCCACGTATTTTCCCACATGATTTAAGCATATATTTGACGATGGAAAGCTGGATTTTTTGTGGTCTGGTTGGCCCCAGGGATCTCATCCTTACCCTAATCTGCCAGGTAGAAATGGTTTGGACAGTGGCTGTTAGCTATGCATTTGAAGCCCTTCGCCCATTCAGGCTGTTTCTTTAAAATAGCATCTCTTATTTTACCAAACAAACCTTACAAAACCTCACGCACTCTGGAATTCACAGGTTTTCCTTTTGCATGTTGCCTTCTCCTTTCCTCCTGTCACGAGGAATGCTTCTGTTACAATTCTCGGTCACTTAAATGCCGGTCTCTTTCTGAAGGGGAAATACCTGACTGAATTCACTTGCAGAAAGACAGCTCGACTGAATTCAGTTTTTTCAAACTAATGTGTAAGACATCATAATCAATTCAAGCAATCAGTAGAAATACCACTAAACCTGTAGGGCCCCTGTCTACAGCAACAATTTAAAAGGCAAGAGTATATAAAAGTAGTGGCAGTTTGGGTGAGAGACAAAAGGCACGAGGTTAAACATGAAACAGCGTTTTTGCAGCCTTGATGAATGGGCATACTTGATCAGTCACTGGCAGGTAGGGTCACTTATCCGTTGTTCAGCCAGTGGGACTCAAAATCTAAGATTCATCTGGGACACTTAACTAAGACAGATACAGTCTTTAACCTCACTCTTAGAAATTTGGATGGAGACCAGGAATCTGTATTTCTAAGAAACTTTCCAGGTGGTTCTAAAAGCAAGGCATTTGTGGGCTGCTTTAAGAAACTTTTCTATAGACAGTGGAGTTGGATTAAGAAAATAATAGGCAAGTTTTGCACTGGACTGATTTAAAAGAACCTAAAACAATAGTCAAGACAGCTGCTTATCTGTGATAACTGTCGGTCCCTTCTCACCCTAAAAGAAGCAGGGGTTGTTAACTGTGTATCCCTTTTGTCTGGAGAGTCCTTTTGGAATGAAGGTCTCTCCTCTCTGCCGTTCTTGGGTCATTTCCAAAGCCTCATACCAGAGGACGAAGTCACAGTGCATGCATTACTTTTTAAAAGAGTGAGATACAGGTGATGAGGCTTACTTTTTTTACTCCGTTTTGTTCCTTACGGAAGGTGTATCCCACCTCTCTGTAACATCGTTCTGTTTTAGGTGGGATGATTCCTATAAGATCTCTCCTTACTATGGAATCATATGTTTTTCAAACTGTTATATCTTTGATATAATCTAATACTCTTTGTTAGAAGAGGAACCTACATCTATAGAGAGGAGAATATATACCCATGGCCGGTGTTCAGTCGGTACTAGACTCCATTCAGATGTCCTGACTCATGGTAGTTAAATATGTAGAAAAGGCAAATTTTTAAAGAAATATTTATTAATATATTCCTATGAAGCATTTTAAAGATAACATAAAATGGTTAATTTTTCCATTCTAAAGTAAATGCTAAGCATGCTTATTAATGAAGCAGTACTTCTCATTAGTTTATGACATTCTGAAGTTCATGAAAATTGTACTGAATGTGTCCTTGGTGTAGTGGAGGGATTTGGGGACTGGGATATAGAGTGCTTGCTGAGGCCTGGGAGCCCGCCTTGGCGCAGCTCGAAGTAAGAAAAGAGGCATGGCCCTGTCTAAACTAAGGTGTTAGTGTTCATTCCCAGCAGACATGAAGGAATAAGGAGACTTCCCTGACGTCCACCTTCCCAACCCCTCCCAGCCTCGCCTGTCCATCACGCAGCCTGAAGTGTGGAGACGTGTTAGTGCAAGGTGCTGGCTCCTCCTTATTCTGTCCAGAGACAGCTTTGGGTAATCATTTCAGAAGTCCCTCACAGACAGGAAAAGTAGTGTTTGTATGTTTGTTTTTAAATAACCCAAGTACAAATTTATGTTGTATTCAGCACAATTGGAGTTCAGGTCTTTAATTTTAGACATAAAGTGCCTGCTGCTTTAAGCATTGACTTGTATAAAAAGAATTGCATGTCTCACACCAGTAAGTTTATGAGTTTTCTCATTTTCAGCTACATAGCTTTTAATCATGTAAAGCAAAACATTAGTTTTGTTGCATTTTATTACAGGTTCTTTGTTGCAATAAAGATGCTGCTAAAATTAATTGATGTAAATGTTCTTCTTTCCCCTATTCTCTGTTTGAACAATCCTGACTCGATTAATGGCAAGTGTGGAGTGGTGAACACACATAAGCAAGGTCATGTGCTTGCGGTGGAGAAGGGAGACTGTAAGGTGATGACATGGGGCTCCTAGTACTGTACCCACCACCCAAAAGTGCCTCCCGCCCAAAGACGGGTGTGCAGAGCACCGCTCGAGCCTGCGAGTGGCTCCTAGTGCCCCACAATTCATGTAGCAGGGGGAGGTGGTACTTGGAGCCAGTAATTAGCATACCCTCCCTGAGCAGCTGGGTGCTTCTTGGGAGTACCACTTAGAGTGGATGGTAGTTTTTGCGTGTTCCCCAGAAAACTTTAAGGGAGTTCAGTATAATCATTTCTTCAGATTTTTTCTTGGACAATTCTTTAGTCTTTTGAAGCTGTACTAGAGAAAGGGGCGGGGGGGGGAGAAGCAGATGAACTCTTATAAAATTAATAAATGTTGACTCATATGATCATCTTTCCAGAACAGACACTTTACTAGGATTCTATAACCCTCTGAATTTGTATGCAAAATATTGTGTGAATGAGTGGAGGTGCATTCTGGGAAGAAGGATTTTGGCTTTATCAGATTCTCAAAAGAATAATAATCTTAAAGAACCACTGCTGTATTATGTATTTGGGTCTTAAACTTTAAATCTATATACAAAAATTATTAGGGATAAAGGTAATCTTTAAACAGCAATGCTATAGAGCAATACTTCCTAACCTTTTCACCTCATGACCAAAAAAAAAAGACATTTGTGTGACACTCTGGGACAAACTGAGGTACACTGGATTAACCTAGTAACCTGTTGAGACAGCTCGTAGCCAGAAGTGACCAGCCAGGCCCACCCAGCTCTCAGATATCTCAGCATACCCATAATACATTTATGGCATTCTCAGAAACAGACCACCTTGGTCTCAGATTCAGCCTGGATTTAATGCTAATCAAGAATCAGCTTTCAACCTGGCCATAAGCATTCTGCAAAGACTTCTGAAGCCCAGACTCTCGTGTCTCTAGGACTCCAGCGCCCCAGCCAGATCAGAGCAAGAGCTGTGGCCTTGGAGCCTTGGGGACTTCCCTTTGGCCTGACCTCACCCACTCAGTGGTTAGGAGGAAACAGCGTTCAATCCCATGGTCCGTCTGGGTGAGCAGAGTAGAAACAGGTGCAGTATGAGACCCAGCCATAACTTGACTGGGGGTCTTGAGTGGTCGTGGGAATGCCAGGGTGTAACTGTTCATCAGCCCTGTTCTGTCTGCAGCAGATTGGGTGCCCTGGCACTGCCACACTGGGAAATGCTGAGCCCCCGTTGACTTGGAGTGGGTGGGACTGAGCTTCGACTCAGGCAATGGGATTGCTGCGTTTGCTGAGTGCTTCTCACTGAAAGGTGCTCTCTAAATTGGCTCCCAGACTTGAGTTCTTGAAGTGGAAGTTTGGGAAACAGGATAGCTGTCCTTAGCCAGTTCCCAGGAATTCCTCTCACCCCTCCCCTCCTTTACTGGAAGAGCACCCTACAGAAAGGGCCTAGTTTATTACTTTAACATTCTAGTCCCAGGTGATGGGTCTCTGGAGGAAGGTCCGCTGTCCACTTAGTTTCTGGAAAACACACTGCCCTTCTAGAACATGACCTCTCTGTGTCGGCCTGGTCGCTGCCCATATATATGGTCATAGTTGCACCCCTAAGCGCACACGTGAATGCTGCTGTCTGTTGTAGTTCAGTCAGGTACTTACTAATGTGTTGCGGCTCCAGTTCACTGCTTTGCATCATCTGCACTGTCCACTCCTCAGGCCATGCTGCTCCTGCCTTAGTCCAGGGCGGCAATGGCAGGCTGGGTTGCCGCAGCAGCTCTTTCACTAGCCGGAGTTGGAGGTGAAGATTAAGAATTCCAAGTGACTGCAGAGAAGCAGTTCTCAACTTTTCACTCAGCAAATACAGTGCAACCTTGGTTCTCAAACTTGATTTGTTTGAGAAAACTGTTCAAGAAATGATTTGATCAAAAATAAAATCTCCTTTGTTGCCTGAGAGACATGTGACTGATCATACAGGTATCAGCCTGAAAGTGTTGTCAGGCAGAAAATTGAGACTCAGTCTTATCCGACAACCGAGATGGTTTTTTCACAAACAGCTTGGTCAGACCCAGGTTCCCTTTGGCACCCTCACGAGCTTATATAGGAGTCTTCCCCACCTGGGCTAGGCACCATGGGAACGGTACCAGCATTGGCTTTGGAGCCTGGCTTCAACCCTTGCATTTGATTCAGGTCAGCTTTATGGGTTTAGGCACATTTACATGACATCCTGACCCTCAGTGTCCTTAGGTGTGAAATAGGAATAACAAAAGAACCCTCCTTAATGGTTTATTGTGAGGATTAAGTTCATTTACCACACTGTAAAGCCTTTGGTGCCTGGCATGCAATGAAAGTACTCAATAAACATTATCTCAGGTTTAGCACTTCATGTTATACTGTGCTCTTTGCCCCTGGTTTTATTTCTCCAGTTGGAGCGCAGGCGCAGAATGGGCACTGCATTACACTTGGTTCATTCTCCCCATCGTACCTGCTACCGGGTTGGGTATGTAGCAATCACTTACTAGATCCTCAAGTACCCAAAATTTCTCAGATGAGAAAAAATCTCTCTTTCAAAGATTTCATTATTTTTTAGAGAAGGGAAGGGAGGGAGAAAAAGGGAAAATCATCGATTGGTTGCCTCTTGCAATGCCCCCAACCAGGGACTCAGAATTGAACCAGTGACCTTTGGTTTGCAGGCTGGCACCAGCCAGGGTTCAGGTGAAGAAAGTCTTGTGACCTCCCTCAGTTAGGGTTGTCTGGTTGCTAAGCGATAGGTTTTTAAGGACCCATCTCCCAATTTACTTGTGAGAGACCGCAAAAGAAAAATTAAATGATTTTCAAAAAACTTTAAAAAACTGCCAAAGAAACAAAATTCTCCCTAATTTAAGCTTTCGGACTCCTTCTTTGAAATGTCATTGGAGTTTTTCTTCTTAGGAACTTGAGGTCTGGAGGAGTGGCGTTTCTAAGCCCTGGCTGCTATCATAGTTACCTGGGGAGGTAACATTTTTAAAATGTTGATATCTGAGTCCCTCCTGGGATCAATCAATCAATGTGGGGCAGGGGTGGGCGGGGAGGGAGTGGGCCTGCCATCTTTTATTTTTATTTTTTCACCAAGCTCCCTAGGTGATCCTAATGTGCAATCAGAGTAAAGCGCCTGGGAGGAAGAGCAGTGGGAGACTGTATTCACAAAATGTCAGAGCCAGAACAGATTCTTAGAAATCATCGCATCTGCTGCTTTACTTTGCAGACCTGAAGCGGGGGCCCACAGCCAGAAAGCAATGGTACTGTAGCCACCCCAGCTGTTTAAAGAGAGCCCATGCTTGAGTGCAGGTCTTCCAGCTCTGCCTCAGCCTCCCAGAGCCACGCTCTCCCAAACCAGAGCTCAGCAGAGGGCCTCACCACCGGGAACAAGCTGAGGTCACTGCCAGGAAACCGCGGGATTCCAGCCCCTGCAGCTCTTACTTCACACAGAGCTGCTCAGCCTTTTATTATACTTCTGTGTGACTGGGAACACATGTTCAGCAGCTTCAAAGAAGGGGTAACCCCTCAAAAAATCAGTGACTCCTCCGTCAGATGGGGACGCTGGCCCAGAGAAGACTGCAAAGCCATACAAGAGCCAGGCGGCAGAGGTGGTACCAGTCAGGCTGACTGCACTCTCTGAGAGGCAGGCAGATAAAGTGACTTCCCCAGAGTCACAGAACTAGTTGGTAGCTGAAAAGAGACACTTGAATGCAGTCTCTAGGTTGTTCACTAAGTTTCCTAAAATACGAGATACTACTGTTTGTAAGATCCTGGTGTCAGAAATATAAAATTTTGAGTAAGAACGTATCTTAGAGTCAAGGAAATACGGTATTTGCCTGCAATCTGAGTTCCTTCGGGGACTGAGTGCATGCTGAGAAAGCATGCACCGGGGTGGGTCTTGGATATGACTCTCCCCGAACTTGCCCAGGGAGGAAAGGGGAGCATGGGAAAGACTAGGAAATTTGGAATCAGACAGGCGGGTTCAAGTCCAGCAGCTATGATTTGGAGCTAGCCTTTTGCTTATCCAAACTTGGACCTTAAAATGGCATTCTAAGACTTCCCTCAGAGTACAGCGAGGCCAACGTGCCAAGCACAGGCCTCGCATGGGTTGGGGGCTTGGAAGTGATTTACAAAGTTCAAGTTGGCACTCTATTGGTCTGACCCCACTTCCTCCAAGGTGTGTAAGACTGCCAGGGGGAACAGTCTGCTCTCCAGGACCTAAGCTGTCAGGCCCAAGCCCTGCTGAGAAGATAGATGCCGGGCGGGAAGAGGAGCATGACTCAGACCCGAGACCTCGGGTGAACAGCAGGTTCTGGAACATGAGCAAGAAGGCGGGGTACAGAAGCCTCCGCCCCATGGGGCTGACGCACTCTGCCTTGGCCTTGAATGCTTCCCACCTGTCTGACCAAGGGCCGGTCTTTCCGGTGTTCACATTATTTGGATAAAGCTGTTATTAACTTGTTAGGGATAGCATGTTTAACCTTGGAGCAGGTGACAGATTTCCCTCTGAGCCTGACAACATTTGTATGGTGAGTGTCCCGCTGCCTACAGAATATTTCCTTAGGACAGCATCGTGTTCCATTCGATCTTCACCATAGGCCTTCAGCATCAGTAAGGTAGCATTACTATTCCTCCCACGTCTCCCCATCCGAGAAAAAATTAGAGCTCAGAGAGGTTGTGAGTCCTGCCCGAGGTCACAGTGCAGAAATGGAAAGCTAATCCCAGCGTTACTCACCCGCTGTGTGAACTGAGCAGCTGCAGCGGGCTAGGCTCATGCTGAGGGCTCCAGGGATGTGAGGACATGCTCGGAGGGGGGTGCGGTCAGACTCATTCTCTGCTCTCGCAGGAGTCTCAGTCTGGAAGCGGAGGTGGATACGCAA